GTCCAGAAGGGGATGAACAACCAGAACTTTCCGCCAGAGTGTACAGCTGGTGAACGCGAAGAAGAAGAAGAAGAAGATTTCAGTATTTCGATAATTGTGTCCCAGTTGATTAAATTCATGATTCAGGTGCCTGTCTAATGTACAGATTACTTATCTGTTTCTAGAAGCCCTGACTCGAGTCACGTGACTTGGACTCTAAACCGACAAAAGTCCCGTAGTTAAAAACGTGTGACTTCTTTTTGACGTTCACCGGCTGTAAACTCCAGTGGAAAAGTTCTGGTTGTTCGTCTACTTTCGGACTTCAGTCGTTCCAGAACTCGAATTTTACAAGGACATTCATTTTACAGATTTGCATGTAAACTGTTGGTTCCTAGCCTCAGGCAGACGCACTCTGACTTCGCTGCTTGCTTGCTTGTTGGACCCCACCAGGACATCACACAAGCGATAAACACCCGGTGACACAAAGTGCCACCATGCGGATGAGGATCACCCGTGGGGAGGTCCCAGAAGCCCCCGGCCACATTTATGGCCGGGCTATATTCAGGGCCCCCGGCAAAAGCCAACTTGGGGCTTCAAAAAAAAAAAAAAAACGAATAATTGCATCCCACATGCGACGACAGTTCATTTAAAAAAAAAAAAAAACGTTCTGACTTCAGAGGGAGCCTGTGACTCAACTTAGAGCTTTGTCCAGTGATTTGTGACTCAACTTGGAGCTTTGTCCAGTAATTTGTGACTCAACTTGGAGCTTTGTCCAGCGATTTGTGACTCAATTTAGAGCTTTGTCCAGCGATTTGTGACTCAACTTGGAGCTTTGTCCAGCGATTTGTGACTCAACTTGGAGCTTTGTCCAGCGATTTGTGACTCAACTTGGAGCTTTGTCCAGCAATTTGTGACTCAACTTGGAGCTTTGTCCAGCGATTTGTGACTCAATTTGGAGCTTTGTCCAGCGATTTGTGACTCAACTTGGAGCTTTGTCCAGTGATTTGTGACAACTTGGAGCTTTGTCCAGCAATTTGTGACAACTTGGAGCTTTGTCCAGCGATTTGTGATAAAAAATTTATCCGGCATGGATGCCCAGCTCGCTAGAGTAGTTGGCTAAACCTGACTTCGCGACGACCGGTTGATGAACTCCTTGTGGTCCAGGTTTACGCCCGGGGGTAGGCAGAAAAGCCACATTTCTCCCAGATTTACGGTATTTATCATGGAATCAAGGCCGAAGAGTTGCGATATCCATAGTACCGAGCCAAAGGGTTGAGAACTCATGGTTTCTGGTTATTTAAAAAGTCAGAATCATCAGAGCCTAACCTGACCAGTCGGGGGAGCTGTGAGTGCAAGTTGTTCTGCTTCTCATTTAGTTAAAATTCTAAGTCACAGTTCATTTAATTAATGTCTTGGTATTCGCTTGACTGCAGTCACCCCTCTTTTTACCACGATTTGTGACTCAACTTGGCGACTTGTAGCTGCGACGACTTGGCACGACTCGATCTCCTCGGGCGGCCACTGTGAGGTTTGGTGATTAACGTCACATTTTAAAACGTTTTCAAACAAAAAAGGACAGAATACATTTTGTTTCACTTTTTGAAAATTTTATATTATATTTCTTCCGCTTATATACATTTAGATTTTCTCACTGCCATTTCCGATTCTGTATTTTCGCCATGTTTGATCGATCTATAGGTACTGCATGTTATATGCATCATCATCATGTGCCCTGTCAACTGGTGTAGGAACTCATCCATCTTCACAGATCACGATTCCTGGTTGCCTGGAACAGCTCTCTTGATGAAATCTCTCCATGCCATCTTTTCAGCGCATCAACATCATCTTTCTTGGTCTACCTCTATCCCTCTTTCCACTGATCTTTCTATTTGTCACGATGTTTTCCAATGCCCATCCTCTCATTACGTGGCTAAAAAACAGCATTTGTCACCTTCATATTGTTGTATATAAAGATCTACTTTCATTAGCTTCATTCACACAATCGTTGCTAGTTACTCTGGCCATCCAAGGTATTCGCAACATTCGCTCAGAAACCACACCTCTGTTGCTTCTAATTTTCTTCACTGACATTCCAAGATTTACTACCATACAGTAGAAGAGGTTCTATGTAACATTTTAGCACTCTCTTTCTGACATTCAATGAGAGCAACTTATTTTTCATTTTCTGAAATGCAGCTTTCGCTTGACCTATTCTGCTTTTAATCTCTGTCACACATTTTCCATCTGATGATATGATTGTTCCCAGATATTTAAATTTATTAACTTGATCAGGTCTTTTTCCTTTAGGGGTACCTGGTATAGTCCTGGGAAGTAAAGGTGGCCGGCAAGATGTTGACCACCTCCCCCATTGAGTGCTGATTGGTCTATAAATTATAGGTCTAGCCCTATATGCCCAATAAATCTGAAGACAAGCAACAGGGTCCTTTACTGACTTTATAAGACATGACACTCTTATAAAATCATTCTAAAGAGACATTTAATGGCAGGCCAGCAAGAGGTAGACAACGATACAGGTGAGAAGAAAACTTAAATGAACAGCAGTTTGTAAGAGTGTACAACTGAGGAAGAGACAGAATGCTGGAGATCAATTGCAGCCAATATTCACTATAGGGCGCCACCTGATTAATTAACTGAACAAACAATATGTTACTTTCAAATCATGATATAAGGCCTTACAGCTGAAATGGGAATTCCCGTTTTTGAGGTGAGGCTGGCGTGGCCGATCAGTGGTAACAATTGTTATCGAGTAGATTTATACACAAACTGAACTAGTTTAATTAATTTGCAACATGTGTTATTGAATGAATTATCATTCTGAACAAAAATAATTTTTAATTGCTCATTTATTTATCTTCAAAATAATAATTAATTCAATAAAACATGTTGCAAATTAATTAATACTGTAGTTTAATTTGTGTATTAATCTACTCGATAACACTTGTTACCACCGACCGGCCACGCCAGCTTCACAAAAACGTAAATTCCTGTTTGAGCTTTACGGCCTTATATCTGGAGCTGGCCGTGCTTTCATACTACACAAAATATAATACAATTTTACTGAACAATATATTTTGTGCTGACAATATAATTAACTTTTGCATGTACATTATGTTATACGTTCTACTTATATGCTTCATTTTATCATCATCTTACAAATTAACTCTACATACACACTCTCAGCATATGATTAACTGCCATTTTACACCGTACACAAATATCAAACTATATTTAACACATACACCATACACAAATACCACACTATATTTCACACATTCATCATACATAAATATCACACATCCACAATACACAAATATTCCAATACCTTTCAAACAAATTATACACAAAGATCACACTATATTTCAAACAAAATACAAATATCACTCAATAATTCATACATATATCATAAACAAATATCAAACAGAATTTGGATGAGGTTGGGATGGGGTGTGAGAGGACAGTGCTAACAGTTTTGTGCATCCACCTCTGACTTATGGAATTTAATTCCAGATGAGGTTAGATTTGTAAATCACAAATTTTTGCTTGGGAATGTGCTAAATATGCATGGGATAGACATAATCATATTCTTTACACTTCAAGAAAGACTAATCACTTACAGAAGTGTGTCAAGTGCCATCATATCCTTGTGGTTAACCTGTCCACACTTCAAGAGAGACTAATAACTCACAGAAGTGTGTCAAGTGCCATCATATCCTTGTGGTTAACCTGTCACACAGGGTTAGGTGATTTAACCCTCTGGCCCAACATCACCAATCTGGCATTACTGCCCATTACGCCGCAAATGCTGCTCTTTTCAAACAAAGAAGACACAAACAACAGCCTACACAATTTACTACCTGGCATATTTTGCAGTATCGTGTCAGGTGCATGCTACAGTAATAATTAAACAAAGGAAGCAAATAAGTGAATCCTTTATAACTGGAGTGCACTGCTTTGATTTTGTTCTGTTTGTACTTGGTAGTGGCAGTGTTTCGGAGGGCTGAATATGATTATATTTACTAAAAGTCATGACGTCATAAATCTCCGTTAACATCTCCTTTAACCGCTTGTAGTCACAAATTGACAAGGTTATGGAATGAGTCACCATATAAATGATTTTTTAGGTCAAGAAAATGTAGCAGTTAAACTCTATGCTCTGTTCATGTTTATTAATTGCTCCACTTCGTAAATTTATTTTTAAAAAAAATGTAAAATGTACACAAATCAATTAAATAAAAAAATGAATAGTTACCCCTGTAAAATGACTGTCTACCCCACGCCTATTTCGCACACCGTGTGGACGCCAGGGCCCCATTTAGGAGAACAAGCATAGACCCAATGCCTCCCTAACAAGCATGTCATAAAAAAATGACTAATTAGAGGTTTTTTTCCTTCAACTTCGGAGTGCATCTGTCAGAAGGTCGAGGAACCAAAAGTCTGCATACAAATAAGCCATATTTGTAAACAGATGTACATTCAAAACTCAAATTCTGGAACAAGACCAAAATCCAGAAATGGATCAACAACCAGAACTTTCTGTCAGAGTTTACAGCTGGTGAATACTAATTAGAAGACGAGGAAGAAGATGATGACCACAATTTGAATTTAGATGTATCAATATACAGAGTTGTGTCAATGTGCAGTGATCTGTCAATGTACAGTGATCTGTCAGTGTATAGTGTTCTGTATATGTATAGTGATCTGCCAATGTAAAGTGATCTGCCAATGTAAAGTGATCTGTCAATGTAAAGTGATCTGTCGATGTACAGTGATCTGTCAGTGTATAGTGTTTTGTATATGTATAGTGATCTGTCAATGTACAGTGATCTGTCAGTGTATAGTGTTCTGTATATGAATAGTGATCTGTCAATGTAAAGTGATCTGTCAATGTAAATTGATCTGTCAATGTAAAGTGATCTGTCAATGTGCAGTGGTAACTTATCATTGTGCAGTGATAAATAAATGTCTAGTAATCTCTCTCTTATGCATAAACACATAGTATTCTAATGTGACTGTGCAATGTCCGAGAAGTACTGGAGCACGTTGTCCATAGTAAACTCCAGGGTAATGTTGGAGTCTGGGTAGCATTTTGTCATCAGACTGTCATAGTACTTGTACTGGTTAATAAACAGGTTCTGCATCTCATGCCAGACCACCTGAGAAAATTCAATAAAATAACAAAATATGAAGACATAAAAATATAGACACAAAATATGTCTATTGTTCTTGAACAGGTAACAATGTACTAGAAGTTTCAGGTGGTGAGAGTCACATGGATCTTTTGCCTGGACTATATAGGTGTATTTGGGAATGAGCAGACAGATAGGCTGGCTGGAATGGCCCCACCTGGGGGTACTGCAACTGCGCAAGGTAGAGGTGATTTCTCACCTGTAGGACGAGATAACAACTAAAACGGAAAATACTGAAAAGCTGTACCTAGAGAAAAAGATGTGGCGGGGACTGTCTGCGGGCTCTGGACGCAACTTCTCAAGACTCAGGGAAGAGGGCCAAAATGAGTAGTTAACCTGATGACAGGGGCATCATCAGTATATCAGTAAGGAGACTCTTCACTGGCTATCGAGGAGGGAGATGGAGGTAAAATGGGCTCGTCCTGAATGCTGTGTGGTGCCGAAACTTTACCCAGGTAACCATGTATTCAACTGTCGAATCAGTACCTGGTGTTCCCGTGTGGGTTTCTGGGCCCTATTATGGGGAAAACAAGAATAGACCCACTGCCCCCAAAAGCATGTCGTAAGAGTCAACTAATTAAGAGCTTCCTTCGAAGTGCATCTGCCTGAGAGGCAAGGAACTAACAGTCTGCATACAAATTAGTCAGATCTGTCAAACAGATGCATATGCAACACTCAGGTTCCGGAACAGGACTGCAGTCCAGAAGTGGACGAACAACCAGAAGTGGACGAACAACCAGAACTTTCCGCTAGAGTTTACAGCTGGTGAACACGAAGAAGAAGAAGTACCTGGTGTCATGTTGACCACATCACCCACCAAGTTCAAAGTTCAGAAAGATGAGTTCATTGTACCAGGTTTGATACCATAATGCTCAGTTTCTCTCCCAGAATGGCTAGCTGCCTGTGGACAGCATCACACAAAACACAAACTCCATAGCTCCTGTGACATTCTCAAGGGATATCTGTTAAAACTGCAACCATTAACAATACCAAAAAAAAAAGACATACCTGAATCAAATTTTCTTCCTCACAAAGCTGTTTTTCAACTTTCTTGTTCAAGTGCTCTAAGGTTTTTTTAACCTGAAGAAATGGAAGATTTCGGGGTAAAAATATTTTTAACAAACTTCACCAGTGGTAAACTAATTAAGAATAAATGAAAACTACTAAGGATACATTTACCCTACAACATCTGCTAAAGTCAAAGTGTCTGTTTCGCAACACCAAGATCAAAATATATAAAACGATAAGACCATTCGTTTTATATGGCTCTGTAACTTAGAGCACAACTAAAAGAGATGAAGCCTTTTACAAGGTGGGGCATATTGAGAGAATGTCAGATGACAGAGGAAGTAAAAAACTGTATACACGAGGGAGACGAATGGTTGTAGACCACGAGGCAGACCAAGAAGACGATGGAGAGAATATCCAGACAGACCTGCAAACACTTGGTGTCACCAACTGGAAAGAGAAGGCCAACCAGAGAGATGAATGAAGGCTGGTGATATCTACATCAATGAACCTCAAGGGCTCAGAATGCTGAAGAAAAAAAAGACTAAGGGTACATTTAAATGAGGCAAGGAAACAGAGGCACAGTTTTATTCCGAGCTGGACTTAGCTACTGAGATCTGGAGATGAAGGACATCTACTTTAAGAAGAAGAAAAGTCTCGTTGTTCAACCATTCTATTATATTCTTTGCATTTGTGTATAATTCTAGGATATTCTTAGTATTTTCTCGAAAACCACATCTCTGCTGCAAGTAATTGTTTTTCAGCTAGTCTGCATCAAGTCCAAGTCTCACCATGGGTTTTTATACAGCACTGTAACACTCTGTTTCTTACAGCAATTGACATCTTTGCACTGGTATCTTTTGCATCATGCTAACTTTCTGCTATGACCAAATCATAGGACTGATTCTTTCATTGGTAAAACCCAGTGATGATATTGTATAAACTTGCTTTCTGATGCTCCCATTTCCAAATGAACCATCATCTTTCACTTTTGCCATTAAGTGTTGGGGAAGGAGAGTGAGGAGGAATAATTAGTGGCTGAGTGTTGAACTAAGAACTGACATCACAGCACTCAGGACATTCCCATAAGCACTTTGTCCTCATTTTCAGCAGCCAGCAAAGAGTTCAAATTTTGATGGTGCCAACAGCATCTGATGGTCCTGGATGGCTGACACTGGCTACTGCTATTCTCTTTAAATGAACAATGTCTTAAATGTTGTCAATCCATCTTCCTTTTTTTTAAAAGACTCATTTGCTTTTATATCTTCTGAGGTGAAGCACCAATCATGCTAACTCTTGCTGCATTCTAATAACATGTCGAAAAAATTGATCTTTTTTGGGTCAATGTATTCATATTGCACAAGGTTTTATTCCTACAATTTTTCTGACAGTATCATTTTTCACCTGATCTGGGATGGTTAAGCTGGTTTCCTTCATCCATTGCATTTCAAAAGTGATAATTTTACATCTGATAATAAATATGAGTGAAAATGCCTTTCTTTATGAGGAAATGAAGACGTGGTGGTAATCAGGAATCAAAGTTTCAAACATAACAAGGCAGATGTGGTTAAGGCCCTTTGGGAACACACAACGAAATCAGTAGAGACAGAAGATTATTATGACCTGGAGAGAATGAGGCACCTGGGTGTAACCAGAGGGTCTGGGTGGCTCACTACACTCAGAGGAAAGGCAAGATAGACGTATAACCACATTGTGACCAGTACCATCAGTATTGGAACTCTGCACTGGCTGCTGAAGATGAGGACAGAGCACATGTGGGAATGCCCCGAGTGCTGCAATGTCAATTCTTGACTCAACTCAACTCGAGGTTTTAACTCACTACCAGCCGGGTCACCCCATAGTTGCTCTGTTTCTGTGCCAATGAAAATCATTAAAAATGTCTATCACTGTCCCTTGTGAAACAAATTTATACAGATTGCATCTTAGCAAATCCAATAACACACAGACATAATAAATTCATAAAGCAGTTGTCAGAAGTGCCCACACAAATGGTCCAACATTAGAAATTCACTTTATCATTGATGGAGCCGGCAGTTACAATAGATCAGTAGTTGCACATGCAAACAATCACATAAGGTATCACCCGTTTTGTAGCAACAGGCCACTCGCCATTTTCTGAATCTGCAGATCACAACACAAATCATGTAAATGAAATCCACAGCTCACAGTGTTGCACCATGCACCCAACTCAGTAGCTGGGAGATGGAACTATTTACCTTTGTCTACTAATAGAGGAAATGCAATGGCTAACCTAACTATTATCAGAAGCACAAACTTGCCATGACTTGAAAAAAAAAAAGTCAAACTGCCTTTCTGCCATACTGACTGGAAGAGGTGGTGGTATAGATGTAGTGGTATAGTGCTCAAATGCTTGCCTATAAAGGTTATAATTGTCATATTTTAGATTTCCTTTGGGTCATATTTGTTGGTTCAGCTACCCTGGTATATATATAAATATAAACTATGTGTCAAATGCCAGCAACGGTAAGCGAAGTAAAGGGGCACTCCTCACATCACTGGCGCAACAGGCATATGTTGATAGACCCATAATTTTATACACCAATCGGCACTCAATAGGTAATATGGTCAACATCACAACATCCACCTTTACTTCCCAGGATTTCACTTGGTACTCATTTTAGGCTGGATCGACGACCTGGGAGCCAAGGTTATTTCTGACTCGCACCAGATCTGAACCTGTGACCTTTGGGCTAGAGATTGGTGTCTAGCCACCACTAGTCATGTAGGTAACCATGTTAACAATTACTTGCCTCTTTGCCAGGATACTCCTTGATCAGTTTTCTCAGTTCCTGTTTGCTAAAAGCCAGCTGGTAACCGACCTCCTCCGGTTTGACACCGGCCGCAATACGAGCCTCCACACCCTCAAAAAATGTCTGGAAAAAAATTATGGTTATCAGCAAAGACGTGAAAATGTGTTCTTTTATTCTAAATAAGTGGTTTCTTAGATTTATTTCTCTCAGCCCCATCTTTTTAATGACTTACTGACAACCTGCATCAAATGCACCCCACAGAAACCCATGCATGTGAGTGTGTGTGTGCATGCAGGCATTCATACACAGGGTGCATTTATTTCATAAAAAAAGATACCAGTACTCATCAAAAAGTGTCTGACTCAGAAGAATGCATGCATGCTTACCAACTATCTAGAGGAACTGTTTACAAGTGGAGAGAGAGAGAGAGAGAGAGAGAGAGGGAGGAGGACCGAGGGGGTAAGAGAGAGGGAGGAGAGAGAAGAGCGAGAGGAGAGAGAGGGGGGGATGGAGGGGGAACAGGGAGAGGAGGAGAGAGTGAGGGAGAGACGAGAGAGAGAGGAGGAGGAGAGGGAGAGGAGAGGATTGAGAAAGAGAGGAAAGTTGAGAGAGGGAGAAGAGAGAGAGAGGGAGAAGAGAGAGAGAGGAGAGAGGAGAGGGGAGAGAGAGGTTCCTTCCTTCACACCGTGACACCATGGCTGTCCCAGCTCCTTACTGGCATGGCACAAGCACAGTACAACCAAGGCCAAGGAACAAGTTGCACAATAAAAATCTCTACAAGACATGCAGATAGTAGATGTAGAAAACTATATAAAAAAAGACAGATATAGTCAGAAGTGTGACAAAGAAGAGACATGTAGATATAGTCAGAAGTATGACAAAGAAAACAGACATGTAGATATAGTCAGAAGTATAACAAAAAAGAGATATAGTCAGAAGTTTGACAAAACAGAGACATGTAGATATAGTCAAAAGTATGACAAAGAAGACAGACATGCAGATACAATCAGAAGTATGACAAAGAAGAGCAGACGACTGCAGGATACAGGTCGACGATATGAACAAAGGTAAGACAGACATGCAGATACAGTCAGAAGTATGACAAAGAAGACAGACATGCAGATACAATCAGAAGTATGACAAAGAAGACAGACATGCAGATACAATCAGAAGTATGACAAAGAAGACAGACATGCAGATACAATCAGAAGTATGACAAAGAAGACAGACATGCAGATACAATCAGAAGTATGACAAAGAAGACATGAGAGATGTAGATATAGTCAGAAGTATGACAAAGAAAACACGAGAGATGTAGATATAGTCAGAAGTATGACAAAGAAGACAGACATGTCGGTACAGCCAGAAATATGACAAGAAAATTAGCCATACATATATAATCAGCAAAATAAAAGAGAAGACAGACATGTAGATATAACCAGCAATACAACAAGGAAAATATGAAAATAGACATACAAATATTGTTGGCAATATATAAAGGAAAACAGACACGAATACAGTCATCAATATAGCAAAGAAGATACACAATTCAAGACAGCCGGCAGCAAACCCTGAAAGCTACAGGCCACTCACATGCAGTTTCTCTAAAGGTCTGCCCAGTAAGTTGACTGTGTAAGCCTGCAAGTTTTCTGTGTATCTTTGCTTCGCTTCCTTCCGATCATTCTCCAGGCATGGATTCTTCAAATGGGACAATATGGCTGTAAAATTATAATTTTGGTTATCAGTACAAATGTCATAAAAGATAAACTGTCCTGCAGTTGTTTTAATAAGAATACAAGAATACAACAGAAAAATAAAAGAATACAACATCATACAACATTAGTCATCATCACCATCATCATCATAATAACCACCACCACCAAAAACACCATCATCATCATAACAACCACCACCAAAAACACCATCATCATCATCACCATCCAGTTCTATTTCTGCAGTAGAGGCTGGTTGTTGTGTATCTCTAAAAATTCATTTTCCTAGCCTTCATTGTTCAGCGCGAGTCAGAAATATAGCTACATGTTTCACTGCAAATGTCTGTTCACAAGACAGATTATGGCCAGAGAAATAAGACCATCGGAAAAGTAATTCTTCAGAATACCAAATCAAAACAACATTGAGCCACAACTGATCAGGTTAGTCATAAATACAGCTACACATTCCAGTGTCTATGTATGAGAAAATAATGAATGACTTTCCACAGCACTACTGATTACGCAGTCATGTGAACAGAAAGTAGTCTGAGGCAATTAGGGTCTGATTACAAGAGGAATTCACATTGAAATTCAAAGCAGACGGGGCTGAAAAATACCAGTTTCATATTAGTGCCAGGGCATGCAGGTGTGCAAGGAAATGAGCAAGCTGATAGGCTTGCAGGTCAGGCTACTGTGAAGGGCAGACAAGCCAGAGATTAGGCTGACATACTGAGTGCTCTATGAGATTAAGATGGTGAAACTGCAATAATTACATTCCACATCTCAGCCTTTTGCCAAAGATTAAAAGTTCAGATCGGCTGCAACAAAAAAAACGAATTAATAGCAACCTTTCACCATTACCCCTTAAAAAAAAAAAAAACAACAGCTGAGTTTCTTGAAACTAAAACAATACACTGCTATTTTGTAGGGACCTTAAAAAAGTACACTCAGGTTTTGCTTGAAACTGTAAATCTTACTTTAACAATATAAACTCCTGGATTGTCTGGCAATTTTCCACTAAAATTAATTATTTCATTGAGTAATACAAGTTGCAAATAAATAGACCTGAATTAAAAACAGGGATCACAAGTAGGATGTATGATTAAAGAAGCTGAGTGAAAACAAAACCACAGTTAACTAAATATGACTAAAAAGAGATGTTTCTACTGTATTATTTCAGAAAGAAGGACAGAGCTTTGTTTAAATAAATAAGAAATATACTCACAAAACATTCTGTGGAAGTTTTCTGAGAATTAAAAAAAATGCAAAGAGCATCAGTACTTGAAACAAAATTTTCAGTAATATTTAAACCACAAATATCCAAGCGATGGCACAGATAAAACGTGCGTCAAAATCATCACAAAGTCAGCTGCTGCATTTGTTACTCTCTCTAAATAAAATGCTGACAAAATAATCATCAATGGCACAACACAGTCAACCAAACTGAGCTGAGTTTCTGACAGCAAAGAGGTCCAATGCCAACGGCACCAGTACTTTTTGAAATCATGTCTGCCTGAGTGTAGAGTGTCAGCCTTTTTTCCTCTTCTTTTCTTTTTTCTTCTCCCATTCTTAATATCTATCACCATCTACTAATATTTACTCCATGATCACCATATAAGTCTATGATTAACCACACGATTCTTTTATTCACTTAAGAGAGGATTTCCCATCCTAAATGCCACGACTTCCACAAATAACCGCCCTTTCATAATAGATGATTCATTAACAACCGTACGATAAATAAGATACTTAACTTACAGAAGACAGAAGGGAATTAAGGAAAATTTAAGGAACATCTCTGAGGAACATCTGACATCAGAATACTTATGATTATATTTTTTTCTTCACTTCTCATTTTTTGTCTCCTCCCATTCTTAATATTTCTCACCATCCTCTTCATCCTCCTTTCCTTTCTCTCCTATTTTTTCTATTCTTCTTTTTTCCTGTTCTTCATCATTCCTCTCTTCATCTGTCTCAGTCATATTTTATCGTCTGTGTCTTCTACATCTTTCTTTACCCCCGCCCCCCTATCCCCCACCTTTCTTTTATTAATAACCTCATGATCACCATGAAAGTCTAAGATTAACAGTAAGTAAGTAAGCAGGTAAATTTAACCCTACCAGGACATCACACAGTGATAAACACCTGGTGACACAAAGCCAGGCAGGGGCTTCAAAATAACGAAAAATTGCGTCCTGCATGGGGACGACGTTTATAACTAAGATTAACCATATGATCCTTTCATTTACCCAACACAGGATTTCCTATTCTAATTTTAACAACCGCCTTTTCATACAAAATTATTCACTGATAAATGTATAATGAGTAAGATTCTGTATAATGAATAAGATGCTCACAGAAGACAGAGGGAATTCAAGAAGGCATACATTCTTACCCATGAGAACAACTTCCCTGGGTGTCTTCTGGTGTTCCTGGGCCACACGGATAATCTGCTCAAAGATGACCCGAACAAGTTTTGTATATGCCTTGTCAAGGTCAGCATGCCTGTCTGAACCCTTGAAGATGCTTTCTGCCAGATTGGTGAACTCCTGGACAGTTTCAGATTTTAAAGTCAAATAATACATCCTCATTTACATATCTGCCCGTTTTCTTCTAACTTTAATCCTCCACTGGAGCAGCCATTAGGCTGTCAGTCAGGATTCCAACTTCATCCCAAACAGGTCTCTCCATAACTGCTCCGTTCCTGTATTCATGTACCAGTGAAAACCGCACAAAACACCCATAACTCTTCCATATAAAAAGTCAGCTATCAGCCTGGCACAATACAACCGCTCACACATGCATCAAATGTATAAGGCAGTCCCAAAGGTGCCAATACCTACAGTCTGTCACTAAAACTGCTATTGATGGATGACAGCAGTCACATCAAATTAGTAGATGCACTTGTATTATTGCAAAAAAGCACACCCTCAAAATGTGGCAACAAGCCACTCAACACTTTCCCCCTAGAAACCCTTTGAAAAAAAAAAAGGCATGAACATGGGAATTCCCCAAAAAATTACCTATATAAACATTTTAGCACCTATAAACATTTTAGCAGGTCATGAATACATTTAAAAATAACTGTTAATATACATAGTTTACAAAATAAATATATGGGCAGTATTTTAACAAAAAATGAAAGCACTACAATTCCTTGGATACAAGAAAATAATTAATTGCCATTTCCTCCCACTCGGACATAAGAAAATAATTCACTGCTATTTTCTCCCATTATTCTCCCGCAGTAAATGCTATTTTTAGTAAATATAACATACCTCCCCGAGACTGACCAATTTGGGAATGCCAGTTAAATGGCTTTTGTGGGAATAAGTAATGAATGAGGTTTGAGGTTTTGAACAACGGATCAACATCATGGCACAAGGGTAGTAACCCACAAATGCTCTGTTCTTCTTCTAAGTCTGAGTCTGAAGAAGCTCAGCACAATGCGCAGGCTCTGTAGCACCAGTGAGAATCCTGAAATACTTTAGGTATATATTAAAAACCCAAACTTTGCCAGGGCAGCGCCGTTAGTATACTCTTTTTGATTTCCAAATGCTTAGGGATTTTTTTACGTGAGCAAAAATGCACACAGGTGTCTGATCTCACTACCCAGAGAATAGGGGGAATAACAAGAAATCCAAGTCCACGTGAAAAAATCCCAGCACTTCCCGGGGATTGAACCCGGAACCTCTAGCACTCATGGCGGACACCATGTCTCGAGACCATGCAGTCCCCTTAGGTAATGGACACAACTGCTAAGTTTGTAATGTCACCGGGTTTAGCAACTCATGTGAAACTATCCTAAGCTTTGTCTGGGACTAATATTTTGTTCACGTCAACCAAGTGTTTTCTAAACGAGTTCATGTTAACAAGATTTTACTGGATAACTACTGACACATTGAGATCAATATGACAGGAACGTATGCATCAAACTAAAACACATGAAGAAGGTCCTTTACAGAACGTCGATCCCATTAATGCCTACCTTGGGGGGAAAAAAACCCTGGTCCCTGGCCAGATGTTCCACCAACCTCAAACCTGCAAACAGAATATGTTCTACCAACCTCAAACATGCAAAGAGAAAATGTTCTATCAACCTCAAACATGCAAAGAGAAAATGTTCTATCAACCTCAAACCTGCAAACAGAATATGTTCTAGCAACCTCAAATCTGCAAACAAAATATGTTCTACCAACCTCAAACCTGCAAACAGAATATGTTCTACCAACCTCAAACCTGCAAACAGAATATGTTCTACTAACCTCAAACCTGCAAACAGAATATGTTCTACTAACCTCAAACGAGTGAACAAAGCTGATGATTCCACATCTACTCTTTTTGGATGTTTTGGTCTCACGAATGGTCTGCATCATTGCATCCTAATGGGAAAAAAGTGTACATAATCATAAAGCTAGGAAGAAAGCTGAAGTGGTGAAGCTTCTAGCATGCATCCTTCTCCCTTGTCAGCACCATCCTAGCAGACACACAATTTCTCTCAGCAAGGTAAAGCGAGCTTGAATTGTCACTTATTTCATCTAAATGCTTTTGTATTTATGCATTTTAGCACTTACTCATTCCGGCTCAATCGACAAAGTGTGTGTTGACTGAGAAATTCCGGTTTGCTCAAATAGTGCCCTCTGAGTTATTTGTATACCCCACACAAAATGATTTGCATACTGTTTGGTACTAGTTTTTTTAATGTTTTAAACCATATTTAGAATAATCAGGGAAGGTTACTCTGACATTTTTATTTGTTTACAGGCTGTATTTAAATGTTTTGGTGCAAAATGATTGAATTCATTGAGAGCATAATTTATAGAAAGTGAATTTTCCGTTTTCATCTTTGATTGATCATGAATACCAATGTTCAAAATATAAATACAGGCTGCAAAATGAGCCTTTCTGTGGCTAAAACTCTGAAACTGTTTCAGTCCTCTAAATGCTCTGAATTCTGATAATGAAAACTTAAATTATTTGTATTTAGATGGTCAATTTATATCAACAGCAACTGAGCAGTCGGCTGTTAAAGTTCTGATGAGTCTGACATAGAGAATTTTCAGCCTCCTATAATAAAGGAAAACAGGCATAAAAAATCCTGTCAGCAATATAAAAGGGAAGACAGACATGTATATTTTCAGACTGAATTTGATTTTCTAATTGCCTGTTCACTGTGCCATTAATTTCACAAGACTAAACAATTGTCTAGGATAAACAAACAAAAAAAACTTTAGGACAGACTTAAAAACTGCCTGAGAGGGAAAGGGTTAAATAAACTGTATCTCTTTCAGCACAAAGAAGTTACTGCTTCCACTCTCTTCCTCATGTTGGATGTTATTACCTCATAAGATTCATTATGTTCTAGAGTTCAACTTGCGGAATAATGACAGCACAGTGGCTAGCATGCTTGCCTGTCAACCCAGTGTTCATAGTTTTGAATCCCTACCGAGTCAAATTTTATGTGATCTAAAATCCAAGGTCAACCCCACCTAGCAATGAGTACCATGAAATAGTAAAAATGGCTGACATGTTAATGTGTTACTGACATTATAACTATAAATCCAATATGCCTTAAGACACGGAAGCAAATCCATTAAAAAAAAACCCACACAAAAAAATAAAATAAAAATCTCTTAATAGTTCAACCCTTTTTGTGAACAGACAGAACACTGCTCTTCTTATCCAGCAGTCTCCATAGCATGCTTTGTTGTAAGGTTCAAACCTGCATAATGGCTATACACCTCAATGCTGAAAGAACTCATAACACACTAAATAGCTATTTCAACAAACAGTTAAAAGTGAAAACGTACAATAAACTTATCGAAGTTCCTCTTGACCTTGATGAGACAATTACCGAATGTCTTGCCTAGGAAAGAGCCCATGTCCTGGTTGTTGATCACATGCTGACTCATTCGCACCAACATGTACATGGAGTACCTGCACAGATGAAGAAACCAGAAAATTATGAGATGAAAGAAACACACACCTTACATTCAAACATTTCTTCTTCTTTACTTTCAATGGCTGTAAACTCTGATGAAAAGTTCTGGTTGTTTGTAAACTTCTGGACTCTAGTCCTATTCCAGAACCCGAGTGTTGCATGCACATCTGTTTCACAGATCTTATTCATTTGTATGCCGACTGTTAGTTACTTGCCTCTCAGGCAGATGCACTCTAACTTAGAAGGTAGTTCCCAATTAGTCAACTCTTACAATAAGCTTTTGGGTAGGCAGTGGGTCTATTCTTGTTTTCCCCATAATGAGCACACATGGGGAATTAAACATTTAAAACACAATAGCAAATAATCTAAGTTTACTTTTACTGATATTACATTGAATCTTTGGGCCTAACAAAAATGTAAAGTTGAAAATGGCAAGTAAGAAACAACAACAATGACATTCAGTTTAAATTACCACTGCTAATTATACTGGTGTCATGGGTGTTAATAAATTGCAATGGATGGGCCATACAGAGACCAAGAAGACAGGGGAGAGATAATAACAGGCAGACCTACAGACACGGAGTCACCAACTGGGAAGAGAAGGCCAATCACAGAAATGAAGGGAGGCGGGTGATTTCTACAGCAGTGAAGTTCAAGGGAACAGAATGGGGAAGAAAATAAGAAGGGAATAAAGACTCTAAAATGAAATAACTAAACCTGGCAATGTGATTCAGCTGATAAAATAAAATACAATTTATTAAAAAAGGTCACTGTCATTAAACATTAAAATATTTGCATATACAAATACAAAGTACAATCATGAACACACATGCAAGTACCCACATAAACACACCAAATGCTCAGTCATATACACACAAAAAACACACATAAAAAAACAAATATAACACATACATGTCGTTCTGCTTGTCCGCATGAGTCAGAAAACCATCCAGTTCGGTTTCCAGTTGTGGAAAAAGTTCCGCCATCATGTTTCTGAAACAAGTCAACAACATGAATTAACCTTCCCAGTTTCACCTCTAGACAGCCAAGCCAAGCAATTCAGATCTCACCTTCTTCTGCTGCCTTTCACCTGTCATCTTCCAATGGAACACAGGCTTCTTAATCATCCATCCCTTACCCAGAATCAACCCTGAGTCTCTCGCAAGACAACCAAGCGTTCTAATCACTTGTGCAGCTGCTCCTTTATTAATCTTCTTAAGTCAAGCAATTAAACAACTTGTATTGACTTTTGGATTTAATGGTTACCACAACACATCCACCCAATGTTTATATATGATGAACTAACAATCCTGCTGCCACAGTGTTTATGTATGCTAAACTAACACTCTTATTACCACAACACATCCTACCCCAATGTTTATAAATGATAAACTAACAATCTTGCTGCCACATCACATCCTACCCCAGTGTTTATAGATGATAAACTAACAATCTTGCTGCCACAACACATTCTACCCCGGCGTTTATACCTGATAAAATAACAATCTTGTTACCACAACACATCTAACCCAATGTTTATATATCATAAACTAAGAATCGTGTTACCACAACACATTCTACCCCAATGTTTAAATATGCTAAACTAACAATCTTGTTACCACAATACATCCTACCTCAATGTTTGTATATGATAAACTAACAATCTTGTTGCAACACATCCTAACCCAATGTTTATATATGATAAACTAACAATCTTGCAACCAAAACACATCCTAATCCAATGATTATATATGATAAACTAGCGATCTCTGAATCTCAGTTAGATATCTATGTCTCAGTATTTAAGATATCTGTCAATATTTGAACATGTTACACAGGTTTCAACATCCCTGAATATCAGTTAAGTGTCAATGTTCTAAAATGAGAGACATATATATGCATGTATGCACATAGGTGTGTCTGTCCCCCTGCCCCATATATAAGATACCTGTCAATATTTCAAAATGAAAGTTAGAAGTAAATGTGCGAAAATAACAGTTATGTGTCTAAGTTCCAAAACAAAAGATTTCAATCTCCCGAAATATCACACGTGTGTTATTATTCCAAAATGACAGGATAAACAGATATAAGTGTTTTGAAATGATACTCTCATAGAATATGTCAAGGACCCAAAATAACTCATAAATGCCAATGCCCCACAAGGGCAGACACAATGTCCCCCCCAAAAGCTGTGTGCAAAAGAAGTGAGTGAGCAAGTTCGATTTGTTTTCTAATAGAAAAACAGTTTGTATGAAGTGCTCCATTGGAGGAAAAGGGGTGGGGGGGGGGGGGGGGGGGGGGGGGGCAAAGAGCAGAAGATGAAAGTAAAAAAGAATAAGTAGATAATGTTAAAAAAAAAAAAAAAAAAGAAGGAAAACAGGAAAAACATAGCTACCATCATTAATGAATAACATTATGAAATGTACAATATCCTACTGACAAATGTACAAACCTCACTTGATCGTTGATCTGTCTCCTGTAAGGAAAAACAATATCAGTTAGCAACAACAATAATACTTGGACAGCAGTAATACTTGGAAAGAATTGACTCTGCAGTTGCAAGTTTGTGTGTATGCTTGAGCGTGTAAGTATATAATTTGTTAATAACAAACAAACAAAAACCCCACACTTATGTGTCATTATTTTAAAGTAAAGATTCCCTATGTGGTTTTTGGGGTTTATATACAGAGCCTAGCTGTGAACCACAACACAACAATGCCATCTGTCCTTTTAAGGGTAAATGCAGAATACAGGCCTCTCCCCCTCGCCAAATACTAGTGAGAAAATTCATTACGAAAAGAAAAGCAAAACAGTCACGACAACTCTGTAATGTCTAGAAAGAAGATTTTATGACAAGAAACATGTGCAGAGTAATTTCCCTCTAGTTGTTCAGTCAGTAAGATTAACTTTCGTTGGAATTTTAACAATGATTCCTTTCTTTCTCTGATTTGGGATCCTTTTCTGTGCCCCTATTCTATTTAAAAAAAAATCAAATAAAATTGTTTACTTGGTTTATGGTTACATCATTTGCTGCCTTAAGCATTTCTGCAATAATCTCATCATCACCCACCTAATGAATTAATTGCCTCCCTGATTTCCGTGTCATTTATCTGTGCAACATTTACTGGTAGTATGGTCATTTTACCCTCTTCAGGAAAATTCATTGGTTCTCATGGACCAGGTCTATATAAAGTCTCCTGGATATGTTCTGCCCATCTTTTCTTCTGCTCAGTATCATATTTTTTACCTCCATTCATTTTTCATTCACAACAGATGGTAAGCATTGTACCATCCTTACTTTTAATGGGCCTACCCTAGTCTGAAAGTACTAGATTTAACTGTTTTAGTGTATTATATACATATATATATTATATGTTCACAATAATGGTTTTTGGGGTTTAGATACAGCAGCCTAGCTGTGAACCACAACACAACATGCCAACTGTCCTTTTAAGAGTAAATGCAGAATACAGCCCTCTCCCCCTCTCTCCCAAATACTAGTGAGAAAATTCATTACAAAAAAGAAAAGCAAAACAGTCACGACAACTCTGTAATGTCTAGAAAGAAGATTTTATGACAAGAAACATGTGCAGAGTAATTTCCCCTCAAGTTGTTCAGTCAGTAAGATTAACTTTCTTTGGAATTTTAACAATGATTCCTTTCTTTCTCTGATTTGGGATTCTTTTCTGTGCCCCTATTCTATTTAAATAAAAATTAACAAATCGTTTACTTGGTTTATGGTTACACCATTTGCTGCCTTAATCATTTCTGTAATTATATCATCATCACCCACTAGTGACTTATTGTCTGCTAATGAATTAATTGCCTCCCTGATTTCCGTGTCATTTATCTGTGCAACATTTACTGGTAGTATGGTCATTTTACCCTCTTCAGCAAAATTCATTGGTTCTCATGGACCAGGTCTACATAAAGTCTCCTGGATATGTTCTGCCCATCTTTTCTTCTGCTCAGTATCATATTTTTTTCCTCCATTCATTTTTCATTCACAACAGATGGTAAGCATTGTACCATCCTTACTTTGAATGGACCTACCCTAGTCTGAAAGTTCTAGATTTAACTGTTTTAGTGTATTATATACATATTTATATATTATATGTTCACAATAATGGTTTTTGTTTACTTATTCATGCTCACAATGTCAGCCTCTGTGGCTGAGGCCTTGCCAACACGCTTCGTAATGTCGGGTTCGATCCCAGCTGTGAATGATTTGTCTTGCGTAGGTTTTGACAGTGGTACTGGAGCTGACCGTTTAGAAAGCAATGGCAAACTAAAACATAGAATTTGCCTAGAAAATACCACAACAGCCAAAAAATGCTGGGGATGGTTCTGCAAAGTTCTGTAAAGGATTTGCGATTAACTTATTCATGCCCACTGAACTATAATAACATGTATATCATTCTTAATAGGAACAGTTAGTGGTGAATTACTGGACACTGTCTCAACTTTAAAATATGATATTCACTCACTAACCAATGATCATCTGCCATGAGTTATCTGTCTGTCCAAGCATTAGCCTATTTATTCATCACTGACAAACCCCCTGTGTGGGTTCCGGGGCCCTATTGTAGGGAAAACAAGAATAGACCCACTGCCTCCCCAAAAGCATGTCGTAAGAGTCGACTAACTGGGAAGCTTCCTTTGAAGAAGGAGTGCATCTGCCTGAGAGGCAAGAAACCAGCAGTCTGCATTCGATTGAATCAGATCTGTAAAACTGATGCACACGCAACACTCAGGTTCTGGAGCAGGACTGCAGTCCAGAAGTGGACGAAAAACCAGAACTTTACGCCAGAGTGTACAGCTGGTGAACGCAAAGAAGAAGAAGAAGATAACTGACAAATAAGCCACAATTTTGGGCATGCTCAAATTTGTCAGTTACAGAAAATGTCAGTCTACATGCAGTTCCTCCTCTTGTAAACAACATGCAACTCCTATCTATAGTTCAAGCATGATCAAATGACATGCATGGTTTCTCACGCAGTTAATGACAGCATGCAACTAACATGCTAAGATAGGGTTATTTACATTTTAAACAAACAGGGCGCATCCATGCAAATCAGAATCAGTGTGTAAACAACAAATTTTAAAATTTTCCACAAAATTTAGTGATTCTTCAAAAAATATTTAACAATTTTGGTTGGCTTTTTTTTTTTTTTAAATTAAGATCTTCAGCACACGAATAGTTACCTCCATAATGATTTTCAATCTTTTCCAAAAGATCACACCAAGGGATTTTCAGTATGAGGCAGAAACTCCATATCCCCAGCAACCATCAAAATGGTTATATATGAGAACTACATATGCTATTATTTCAAGTTTTGTGGGTAGGCTTTCTAATTTAGAAATTTAGTCTGTATTCTGGTTATTTGAACCACTCTGCTTGAGATTTAATTGCTGAGACATTCTGAATGTGCTGGATAAGTATTTGACACATTCTGCTTAATTTTTTAATTGGTGAATCATTCTCAACGTGTGGGATGGGTCTTGCTATTTCTTGTCCTTATCTGAGAAGACTAAATGTTGGATCTGCAACCCAATGATATACCACTGTTTTATTTCTTAAGAGGAAAAATCTATACTGCTGGCTAATTCAGGAGCTATTTATGAAGCTATGATACTTCAGCTAAGCAGATATCTGTACAAGCTAATTAAGGAGCAATTTATGAAGCTATGACACTTCAGCTAAGCAGATATCTGTACAAGCTAATTAAGGAGCAATTTATGAAGCTATGACCCTTCAGCTAAGCAGATATCTGTACAGGCTAATTCAGGAGCTATTTATGAAGCTATGACCCTTCAGCTAAGCAGATATTGGTACAGGCTAATTCAGGAACTATTTATGAAGCTATGACACTTCATCTAAGCAGATATCTGTACAGGCTAATTCAGGAGCTATTTATGAAGCTATGATACTTCAGCTAAGCAGATATCTATCTGTACAGGCTAATTAAGGAGCAATTTATGAAGCTATGACACTTCAGCTAAGCAGATATCTGTACAAGCTAATTCAGGAGCTATTTATGAAGCTATGACACTTCAGCTAAGCAGATATCTGTACAAGCTAATTAAGGAGCAATTTATGAAGCTATGACACTTCAGCTAAGCAGATATCTGTACAGGCTTATTCAGGAGCTATTTATGAAGCTATGACCCTTCAGCTAAGCAGATATTGGTACAGGCTAATTCAGGAACTATTTATGAAGCTATGACACTTCATCTAAGCAGATATCTGTACAGGCTAATTCAGGAGCTATTTATGAAGCTATGACACTTCAGCTAAGCAGATATCTATCTGTACAGGCTAATTCAGGAGTTATTTATGAAGCTATGACACTTCAGCTAAGCAGATATCGGTACAGGCTAATTCAGGAGCTATTTATGAAGCTATGACACTTCAGCTAAGCAGATATCTATCTGTACAGGCTAATTCAGGAGCTATTTATGAAGCTATGACACTTCAGCTAAGCAGATATCTGTACAGGCTCATTAAGGAGCTATTAATGAGTTATGATATTTTAATTAAGCTAAATGCTGCATATTTTCCCAGGTTGGAGACTTCAATCAAGATCTTAATTGTTTCTTTTATAGACAAAAGTTACCTTACTGCACACTACACTCAGCACAACTACTATAATTCACACTTTCATTATTGTAATGTGCTACTGTACTTCAGTGCTGCATTTGACAAGTTAACTCAGGTACTGGCTAAAAGTATATTGGAATGTTAGCATGTTCTTACTCATAAACCTTGGGAGAAGCAAAGTACAGTGAAAATTACTTGATCAACCATGCCAAAAGCCAGCTAAGAGTAGGGTTGGTCTACCCCATTCCATAAAAAGCTTCTTCATGAAGCCTAATGGCGAAGAGATCAAGCCCTTTGCCTTGCTCTCTGAAGGTTGTGGATCCATTTCATGACTGTGTGGTTCAGTTCACAGGGGCACTTTTTACGTAGACCCATATGGATTGTTGCTGGAGCTAAGGTGTTCATATTTTGTGCAATATTCTTGGCAGACAGCTATTCATTCTGTGGAGAGAGACTGAGACATATAGGATATAACTCACTGCAATGACATCAATCGTCTTGACTCTAAACTATAAACAAGCTTCTGCTGCAGAAGTCACCAATTACAAACAAATTTATAAAAGCATGAGGTGAGTTGCTGAGGGCAAATATTTTATTGATGAAGGACAGCCAGAAGAAAGCTGCAGAATTTATGAACAAAAAAAAAATACCAATCAAATACAGAGAAACTAAAGAAACAAGTAATAAAAAAGGAGTTACTTAAAGAAAAGTGACAATTGAAATACTGTTGCTGTAGTAAATTCATAACACTTTAAAAAAAACCATATTGGAGGGAAAAGTTGAAGGCAAGCTGGCAAGATGTAGACGGTGGTGACATAAGCAGGAGGATAACATCAAGAAATGGATAACCGGAAAGTGTACAAATACGGTGAAAGACTAATTTAGAGATCCAAGGCAGCCACCACTGACCTGATTATCTGATTGTTTAAACACAAAAATACAATAATGTTGGCTGCATGTCAGAAGTTTTCACTAAATTTGAGGTTGCAATTATTTTAATGTAATTATAGTCAAAGTTTCACTTTACAATTTATTAGGAGCTGATGATGAAACAATTTACATAAGGATTTTAGAGTTTGGATTTAAATATGGTTCTAGCAAGAAGAGATGAAAGAGGGAGCAAATCTAAAGTGTTCACAGATTAGTCTCCTACAGAAATTAGCAGAATCTACACCTTATGACATTTGCTGAGAGAGAAGATTCTATGAGTTTGTCAAAAGTGCTGTAATGACCATTTATTAAATGTTGAACCAAGTACACACACACACACAAAATGCATTCAATTTTTTTTAAAGACAAATAAGATAACAGAATAAATAAATATTCAGCTATACTTGTCTACATATCTGTTGTGAGCACCTGGAATTAGCAGGAAAAAATATATTTAAAAAAACTAGCCACTGAGTTCATGTGTATTTAATCCATGCTCACAAAATGATATGTTAATGAATCGTTTCAATGCACACATGACAGGATGATCTCAATGGATGTCATCAATGCACTCTTGATAACAATAATTTAAATGGATATCCTCAATGATTACATATTAATGGATATCCTCAATGATTACATGTCAACGGATATCCTCAATGATTACATATCAATGGATATCCTCAGTGATTACATATCAATGGATATCCTCAATGATTACATGTCAATGGATATCCTCAATGATTACATATCAATGGATATCCTTAATGATTATATATCAATGGATATCCTGAATAACATTATGTCAGTGGATACATCTTCAATGATTACATTATGTCAGTGGATATCCTCAATGACAACATGATACAATGATGACACTAGATGTCTGCAATGTTCACATGCTACAATTAAGTCCATGGATGTTTTTAATGATCAAGAAGATGTCAAGGGATATGCTCAATGCTCGCATGATGTGATGATATCAATGGACATCCTTAATGAACAAACTACAGATAATTTCAATGAATGTCTTTAAGAGTCACTTGAAAGGATGATGTTAACAATGATGTTAAAAAAAATGGGATAGCCAAGTACGCCCTCAATGCTCCAAAAATAAAATAATATTAATAAATATCCTCTATGTTCCATTTACAAAAATACCACAAGCAAAAGAAACCAGACACCCAATCTACTACCAATAAAAAAATCTAGCAAACATCTATGATGAAAAAACAAAAGTTCAAGCAGCCATGCACTCAGATTACTCACATTTCAACGGTGACAGCAGCCCTCTTTTGCAAGAGCCCCTGACCCAGGTTTTCGGTAATAAACTCACCCCTAAAAACAAAGGGTGTCTATTATTTGGTATGAATACATGTGAAGAGTTGCTACTTTAGTTGTATGGGGTTACACACTACAGCCAATATGTGATCCAGTTATCACCTCCATAAGCAACATGATACTTCAATATATTTTATTTGTTTATTTAATTATTTACTACATATTATTACAACAAAAAAGTTTACTGGCAAATTAAAAAAGAACCCCCCCCCCCCCCAAAAAAAACCTGAATATGCATTGCAAATACATGGATATAACTACACGCTGAATAAATCATCATTATTATCTATCAGGTCTTCCTCGTGAAAGAAGGGGGAGGGGTGGGGGGGGGGGGGGGGGGGGGGGGGGGGGGGGGGGAGAGGGGTTAACAGATCCACTGTCTCAAAAATAAAAATTTCAGTTCTGGAACAAGATTAAAGCCTAGTTCTGGAACAAGATTAGAGTCTAGTTCTGGAACAAGATTAGAGTTTAGTACTGGAACAAGATTAGAGTCTAGTTCTGGAACAAGATTAGAGTTTAGTACTGGAACAAGATTAGAGTCTAGTTCTGGAACACAATTAGAGTTTAGTACTGGAACAAGATTAGAGTCTAGTTCTGGAACAAGATTAGAGTTTAGTACTGGAACAAGATCAGAGTCTAGTCATGGAACACAATTAGAGTCTAGTACTGGAACAAGATTAGAGTCTAGTACTTGAACAAGATGAGTCTAGTTCTGGAACAAGATTAGAGTCTAGTACTGGAACAAGATTAGAGTCTAGTTCTGGAACAAGATTAGAGTTTAGTACTGGAACAAGATTAGAGTCTAGTCATGGAACACAATTAGAGTCTAGTGCTGGAACAAGATTAGAGTCTAGTACTTGAACAAGATGAGTCTAGTTCTGGAACAAGATTAGAGTCTAGTACTGGAACAAGATTAGAGTCTAGTACTGGAACAAGATTAGAGTCTAGTACTGGAACAAGATTAGAGTCTAGTCATGGAACAAGATCAGAGTCTAGTCATGGAACACAATTAGAGTCTAGTACTGGAACAAGATTAGAGTCTAGTACTGGAACAAGATTAGAGTTTAGTTCTGGAACAAGATTATAGTTTAGTTCTAGAACAAGATGAGAGTCTAGTTTTGGAACAATATTAGAGTCTAGTTCTGGAACAAAAATAGAGTCTAGTTCTGGAACAAAAATGGAGTCTACTACTGCAAGAAGATTAGCCTAGTTCTGGAACAAGCTTAGAGTTTAGTACTGTAACAAGATTAGAGTCTAGAAGGGGACAAACAACCAGAATTTTCCCATCAGAGTTTACTGCTGGTGAATGTGAAAAAAAACCAGGATGTAGCAGGTCTGTTAAGTTAAGGACCTTTTCTAAAACAGTGTGTGCATTGGAAATACGATGCAGGATATATTTTTCAAAAGACTAATGAGTGCTCGATAAAGGATGCAATCAACAACACACCAGCCACCTTAACTTCCCAGGCCACTTTTCCTTATACCCATTTTAGGCTAAGTTGAACTGACAGCCAAGGCAAATTTGAACCTTCTTACAAATGATTAGAAAGACACTTTCACACTGAACATTTGCCAGTATCCATAACCGCTGCATTTTTATGTCTAGGATGTCTTTAATGTCCTGTGATACTTTCTTGTTGGTCAACTCCAAATTCTTCTTTCTGGAGTAACGCCTTCCATCACTTTTCTTTACAACCCATGTGGCATTTATTGTGCCCAAATCCCTAATTATAATTAGTCGCCTCTTACAGTATGCTTATTGGGGGAAAGGCAGTAGTTACACCCCCCCCCCCCTCCCATAAACAGGGTCTATAGAAATCTAAAATAATTATTCTGCAACATATATTTTTTATTTAGTGATCAAATTCAATTAATGCATTTGATTGGAAAAAAAAAAGTTACTGGTCACAAAATGGTTGTAATGAGGGTCCAGGCAAGCAGAATGCTAACTAAATCAATATTTAGGCATCTAAATTAACAAGAAAGTTAAAAAAAACACATCACTTCACAATATCTGATTTTTCAATATTATAAATAGTATGCACTAAGAAGCCCCCGAGCAAACAACAGTCACATAGGGGGAAAAAGCTCCATTTTCTAAATCTATGACACTTCTTTGAAACATGCTGACATGTTTAGCTAAAACATCTGACGCTGGTAAGTATTAAACTACACTATAAATTTAAAAAAAATCACTGTTCTTACGATACTAACTTCTTAAGATTCACTAAAACTAATATATGAATCATCATCAAAAAAAACCTTGCCAACTAGCGTGGACGATCATGCCTTTTCACAATCTACAACAGCCTGAATCAGTTTGTCTCCCGACATCCTTCCATGCCGTGACAAAAAAGCTGTCAAGAATTTTCTCATGCTGTCTTCCTGTCTCTCTTTCCACAGATGTATATATATATATATATGAACAGTTTTTTTTTTTTAATTCACTAGTGTTAATACCTAAAAAAAACCTAAGACTGATAAGTTATGACTAAAATATTTTGTGTGTGGATCCCTCCCCACCCACTTCTGGATAGCAGGTCAAAAGATCAACCTACAGAACCCACTATTTGGATTTGAATCTAACAGCTGTAAATCCCAAGAAACCCAGTTCAACAGTTTAAAACAGCTTAACTGGGTTACTCTATAGGTTACAAGTAGCCGGCAGTGTAAAACTGAGTGGGTTGTACAAAACTAATAAACTACTGCGTAATGGATTATTAACAGTTAAAGATAACATTTTTTTTTTACAACAGTTAACAAGAACACATAAAAATATTATTGTTAACAAAATAAGGAAACTTACAAGTTAGTAGACATGTATAACAGTTTTTATTAACATGGCATATTACCAACACTAATCTATCAATAATGTGTTGATGTCACATGTCCTATAAAGTTGATGACTTCAAGGGATGTGCAATAATGTCTTCACTGTGTCGCAATGTCAGACGCAATTTTTCGTTTGTTTTAAAGCCCCACCCTGGCTGTTGCCGGGGGCCCTAATATAATCTAAAGGTTGAACAGGGTTTCTGTGACCACTGCCCGGCTGATTCGAATCCCCATGGTGGCACTTTGTGTCACCAGGTGTTTATCGCTTGGTAGATGTGCTGCTGGGGTTAAATGTAATTAAGCGATGTGCAGAGTATCAACATTTCAAATTTATAAGGAGCGTTCATTTGAAACACATTCCAATGGCCTTATAACAAAAGCATGATAGAAGTATCAAAAGGTATGCCAGAATTAAGAAAAGCATTCATTTTGAACGAACTATGCACCATGGGTAGGTTCAAAACAAAAAAAGCGCCCGCGATACAAAAAAGAAACAAATCACTGCTTATCACATGACTATTTCTTGATCAATTTCAACGCACATAATTATGCATGGTGCGGCACGAACAGATTTCAAATGAATGCTCTTTATGAGTGAAGGAGTAATTGTTTGGCAGCATCAACAAAAAAACGAAAAAAAAAACACCAATGACAGACTTCTAATTCTAGAAGAAAAAAAAAACTGTATGGTGGCAAGAGACCTAAAATAGTTTTTGTGTGTGTTTTTGAGAAGCTTATATATTCTGTTTCGGTCATTTTTTTCATTGATAGAAAGGTGCTTAAAGACCAACACCAGCTTTATAATAAGAAAGAGCAAACGGCATCAGACACTGTTACTGTTCACATTCAAGACATGCTTACAAAACGAGGCACAATTTCTTCTGCTTTTTCTGTGTAAGTCATTTCCCTCAACACTCACATGAACCTGACTAAAACTTTATATAATTCTGTTTGGGGTCATAAGACACTATCTGGCCACTGAGCTACCAAACTCTCCAATTTATGCTTTAAAATTATTTTATCCTGATTAGAGTATGTTCACTTCTAATTCATAGAAACCAACAGTCTGCATAAGCATATCTGTAAACCAGGTGTAAATGCAAAACTCAAGTTCCAGAATTAAAGTCTAGAAGTGGATGAACAAAGAGGATTTTTCACCAAAGTTTTTGAATATGAAGAAGCAGAAGAAGAAGAAGGAGGAGCAGCAACAGCAGCAGAAAAAGAAGAAGAAGAAAAAAAAGAGGAGAAGGAGCAGGAAGAAGAGGAAGAAGGCGAGGGAGAAGAAGAAGATGAGGAAGATGAACATGAGGATGAAGATGATGATGGAGGAGAAGGAGAAAAAGAAAGAGGAGAAAGAGGAGGAGGAAAAGAAAGAAAAGAAGAAGACGAAGAAGAAGAAATAAAAAGAAAAGAAGAAGGGGAGAAGGAGCAGGAAGAAGAGGAAGAAGAAGAAGATGAGGAAGATGAAGATGATGATGAAGATGATGATGAAGGAGAAGGAGGAGAAAAAGGAGGAGGAGGAAGAAGCAAAAGAAGAAGAAGAAGAAGAAGAAGAAGAAGAAGAAAAAGAACACTAATTCAACATTAAACGTATCTACTTTTTCAAAATAATGCATTCAGAGTTTTTAAAAAAAAGCATGTGCTTATAATTTAAAGGTTTTACTAATTTTAAATTGAAAGTATTCCTTAAACCAGAGCACAAGTTACAACTGACAGACTAAACATTTATACAAGAGGTATTGTGGGATGTATAAGGTGATACATAGATATTTCTTGTACTTTCTTTCAAAAAGATATTCAGATTTTAGTACTAATATTTACTTTTCATCGAAGTTTTGCAAATATTCTGAAATATTAAACATTCCTTGAGCATAACTCAGCATTTTACGTATTCATGCATGAAAGTTCTCGGATGTATATGTTGATACATTCACATTTATATTTACATGTGTTAATACACATGCACAAGTTCCAGTATAAAAGTCTAGAAGTGGATGAACAACTAGGACTTTCCACTGGAGTGTTCTTATAAGAAATTTTCCTTCAGCATAATTCAGTATTTTACATGTTACATATTCATGCATGAGAAGTTCTGGGATGTATATGGTGATACAGTCACATGTAAACACACACATACATACATGTATACACACACACACACTTATAAATATATATATACACACACACACAAATTTGTGTGAAAGTGTGTGTGTGTGTGTGTGTATAATTTTCTACTGTCAAATTACTTTGGAATGCAATGACGCTCTAGGCTGGTGTACTTTCTGATATGTTTTTAAATACTAAAAACTGCTTTGTACAATACTTACTCTGCTGCTGAGTACGTCTGCCTGGCAACCCATACATCTGTTTCCACATCTCCACCTCCTTCAGTGGTTGAATCTTTATCCTAAATGACCCAATATTTAAATATATGTATGCACTAATAATGATATAAAGTTTTTTTTTTTTTAAATCTAGCCTTGACTGAAAAGGATATTAAGGCCATGGGGTTGTGTACTTTTGGTATGCATATATGTGCGATGTCTTCACGTAGCCAAACTTATTGGAGTGCATAATCCTAAACATCACCTTTAGTAACTAGGTGAACCATTACCCTGTCGTAGCCATACTTATACAAAGAAGATGAGAAATATTGACATCTTAAAAGATCTGAACATCAAGGAAGATTGGCTAATAAACAGCATACTTTCTAGAAAGCTGAAATATTTTGGTCATATCAAGCGCCACGACGGATTGGAAAAAATTATAGCAGAAGGCATGGTACTTCGAAGGAGGGGCAGGGGCCGACCGACACGAAGATGGGCATAGGATATAAGTGACTCCTTGAGTGTGAAAGTTCATGAGGCGGGAGAACTGGCAAGAGACCGAGTTTCTTACAGGCAGACTGTGATGAGAGCGACGTTCTGCAAAGGACCTGCTACATGATGATGATGAGGCATACTTATGAATATTGAAGTTGAAATATTACTGTCACCTGTTAGTCGACAGATAGTATTCACTGCACATGGAACTCTTCATAACATAGGTGCTCAGATCATCACCATCAAGTGCCTTGCTGACAGGTGTGGGTGATCATGGGCATGATTTCCTAAGAAAAATTTAGTGGTGGTTTCCCCATGCCTTCCACCAGTTTGTGTGCTTAGATACTCTTATAATATCCTTGAGCATATGGTTATTAGGACACCAGTTCTGTTTTAATGTGAAGGACAGATGGAATACCAGCATGTAAGCTACACACATCAAGACTCACACCAGATGCCTCTTTAAAAGCTGACACTGACAGGCTCAACAGGGTTGAGAGAAAACAAAGAAGAAGTTCCGTTTCTTTAAACTCTTCTTTCTCCTGCGTATAACTCTTGTCCGGCTTTAGCTCTTTTGGCTTGTTGTAACCTGTAACAATCTCAGGTGTCTCATCAGTATCCTCAGCCAATGGAAGTGTAGACACCTTTCCAGCATTAGTTACATTCACTGTCACAGTTACTGCCTGTGTTTGCCACCTTTTAGTGTTGTATAAGACATGGGAGTCTTCAACCTGAGGATTTAGGGCTGCATGAATAGGGCATCAACTCTGCAGGTCAGCAGTTTTGTTTCTGCCCACAGGCAGACACAATGTTTCCAGCATGTTATCAAGAATTCAAACCTAGAGTCTCCTGTATGACAGCTTCTTGTTCTAAATGCTCAACCAGCAGCTAACTAAAGACCTTTTCACACACACAAACTATCGTCTTCTTCTTCAGCATTCTAACACTGCTACAGATATCAACCAGCTTCATTATCTCTGTGACTGGTCATTTCTTTCCAGCTAGTAACACCAAGTGTTTGCTGGCCTGCCTGTACATTATCTCTCCACTGTATTCTTGGTCTGCCCCATGGTTTATTCACATGCAACACAATATTTGCCTCTCTGTCATCTGTCATTCTCTCTATATATCCCAGATATTTCAGTCTATTAGCCCTCATGAGGTCAGCGATTCATGGTAATTCAGATCGTGAATTTTGTTGTTGCTTTTCACTCTGCATTTTCCACTTTTGCATCTCTGATGGGTCCAAAGATTTGTTATACTCTGTTCTCATGCTGGTCCTAAAGGTTAGGGGCTGACACATGCGGCCTACATCTCAACCTACATAAACTTCCTTTTGCCACAAAAGATCCCAGTGTGGGTTCTGGGGCCCTATTAAAGGGAAAACAAGAATAGACCCACTGCCTACCCAAAAGCATGTGGTGAGAGTCACTAATTGGAGCTTCCTTCAAAGTCGGAGTGCATCTGCCTGAGAGGCAAGGGACCAACAGTCTGCACACAAATGGGATTTGTAAAATGGATGCACACACAACACTCAGGTTCTGAAACAGGACTGCAGTCCAGAAGTGGATGAACAACCAGAACTTTCCGCCGGAGTTTACAGCCGGTGAACGTGAAGAACAAGAAGAAGAAGAAGCCACAAAAGAGATATCTAAATACAGGATTTATCATCAAGAAACAGTTATAGGAAAATTTTATACATTCTGATAGGATCAGTAAATTACATCTGAAAGGAAAATGGAATAATGTGGTGATGAATTATGTGCGTGCACTCATCGAAATGAAGATTATATTAAAGGAGGATTTTTAAAATGTCAAATCTCAGTTACCTATTACAAAATATTTTGAGAAGAGAAATTTAAAAGACATGGCAGGAACTGTAATCAGAGGTAATAACATTAACAAATAGTATTGTGTATAAAGAAGTCAATATTTGAAACAACATAGGCTAGAATCCTCACCTTCTCCTGGTCCTCATCTTTGGGTGTGTTCTTATCTATGAGGTGGAAGAATTTGAAACAAAAGTCCTGCTCAGCAATACACACTCTCTCCATCTCTGTGAGGACTTTTTCTAGAACCTGGAAAAAAAAACACACACGGTCAGTGCATCAGTTTAGCTACTTGTGACATACAATAAAGGTGTTTAAAGGTGACAGGATCACCTTTAAATCACCACTTTACTGGCATCATGAGAGCTAATAGACAGACATATTGGGGCATCATCATCATAATCAGGTGCCTTGTCGACTGGCGTGGGCGATCATTCCTCTCCACAATCTGTGATCTCCTGCAGCATGTATCAGTTCGTGTGCCGACACACCTTCATGCCATGCAACAAGACTGTCAAGAATCTTCCCTCGTTGTCTTCCTCTAACCCTCCTTCCACAGATCTTTCCAGTGGTCACAGCATGTTCCATTTTCCCTTTTCTCATAACATGGCTGAGAAATGATGACTGTCTCCTTCTGATGGGGCATATATTTACTATATTAATATCCTGGCCTATTAAACACTGCACAGGTGCACAAAGAACCAACAGAATTTAACAAAGCTTTGTTCAAACAGGTCACTGCAGACATGGTTATACATCAGCCTTTTTGGAACTATGACACAACCGGAAGTGACACAGCAGGGTTAAAACCACTGGCACATCGGATATATGATGCTAGGCTCATATTTTTAAAGACCAATCAGCACTCAGACGCTGACACGTTCAACACCATGTTGGTCACTTTTACTTCCCAGAACAAAGCCTGGTAGACATTTTTATGGATGGGCAGAAGTCAACTGTCTCCCAACTAACAAGGTGTGGATATTCTGTTGCTTGTGGAATCTTTTCGTCCAAATAATAGACATTTTGCCAGTGTGCACATGTGTGGGTGACAGTTCTCTGTGTGAACTCCTCCACATGCGGGTATGTGCACACTCACCACACGGATCCATGTGTTTGTGTATGGTTGTACAAGAGCAGCAGGTGAACAATATATGTCATATTTAAACCGGCCCTACCATCATGGTTCCAATTAATTTATTACAGATGTATTTATTTACGAGTCTATGATTTACCTGATCAAAGACACTTCTGATGGCAATGTCAAGTTCAGAACCGTACTTAACAGCAGAAGAGTCAACACTCTGAATAGAACCCGAGCGCCCTCTGTGGTCCAACTTGGCCAGACTAGTCGATGATCCTGTTAAACGCGACAGTGTGGCGGTCCCTAAGGAAAAACAGTAAAACAAAGGATATAAATTGCTTCTTATCAAACAAAAAATTGCAATTTTACATATCCCAATGTTTTTAACAAGGTCCTTTCATAGATAAATCTTCATCGAAATTCAAGTTAAATACACTTAACCATTTTGCTATTTGGTAGATAGTGGAAGAGAGATTTACAGACCTATAGCTGGCCCTGATCCTAACAACAACATCAACCAACTTCAAGGAGGGACCAGGCCACAATCCTCAGACTCAGTAACACAACATATTCCACTCAATGGGCATCTAAACAGAAACAGCTACAACATTCCACAGAGAGTTAGCTAGGTAACTACCCCTACGAAACTGCTGACCATCATACTTTTGAGTGCCCAAAACTCAGTGAGACTAGAAGAATGCTACTTCCTCCGAGACCAGACAAGTGGAACACCAAGTACGCAGGAAAAAAAAACAGCTTGAGAAAACATGTAAATTTCACTACACAGCATTGGGCCAAAGGATGAAAATGCTGGATCGATAACAACCATTTTGCCCCTGAAATGCTTTCATTAGAAGAAAAAAACCACACAAAAAAAGGAATTCCCTCCCAAAATTCTGTAGAAAAACAACATCTGAACACAGGTCACAAAACAGTTTTCAAATTTATTAATCTGCATTAAAAATGTTTGTTGTCAATAAGTGATCAATAAAAGAAACAGAGTAAATCACTAAATGAAACACATTCCAGGGGCCTAAAACAAAATGTACTGGGCGAACCATACCAAGACCCGGTCAGATTTCTACAACACTAAGGCTGCGGAAAAATTATTTTTTCAAAATGGCCTTTACAAAAATACTATTTTGTACACAAGACCCCCCCCCCCCCCTACTCCCCCACCCCTAATGCTATTTCAAGTGAATATTTTCATACCGGGACCTTCTATAACTAAACATTGTGCGGAACCCCTACTGGTATTAGTTAAACTTCTGTGGGACAGACCATAACAAAAATGCCAGTCAAGTGGCATCGACGGGACCTGAGTAATAGTTGGAAATAATAGTCTGACCGTTTCTTGGCATGACAGGGTTAAATCTCAAGCCTATAAGCTCCTATTGATGAGTCCAAGAACTAATGCTGGTATTGACACACTGCTATAATGAGAATCTGCTGTACACACATGCTGTGATTGTAACTGACTCACAGAGCATGCTGAGAAAGGTGAAAACAGACATGCTTCGTGCAGAGTGGCAAGCATCACTTCAGAGGTCCTGGGTAGTTAGCATCCTTTGGATATTTTCTCCAGGTCATCCTGGTGTGTAGGGAAATGAGCAGGCAGACAGACTGGCTGGCTCTGCACCACTTGGTGGTGAACTGCTGTATGACAAGTTAGATATTGTGAGGGCCCTTTGGGAATGGGTGAACAGCATGGAGGCGCATTTGGATCATTACGGTCTGAGGTAAATGACACTGTGAGGAATTACCAGGGGATCTGGCCGACGCTCAACACTCAGGGAAGGATGAGATGGATATACAATCAGACGGTTACCAGCACCACTGGAATTGGAACTCTTCGCTCGCTGCTGAAGATGGGGACTGTGCACTTGTGGTAGTGTCCCGAGTGCTGTGATGTCAATTCTTAATTCAACATTCACTGCTATAAGCTTCGTCTTCTTCTGTCCTTCATTCCACAACGGACCACTGACCCTAATCAACTCATGCCAAGTCATCCTATCCACTGCCATTGCATGCAGCTTACTTAATGTCCTCCCTACCTTTTTTTAAATTTTTTTTTTATTTCACTCTTTCCCTTCTCCATGAGTTTGTGTGGTCTGTCTTTATTCATCTGACCCTGTGGGCTCCAATGCAAGAATATTCTAATCATATTGTTATCAGGTTTTCTCAATGTCTATCATATCAACTGCCAGAGACTTTTCTTCAGTTCTTGATTCACTAGTCTAAATTAGTAAACTGTCACACTTCTTCTACAAAAGGAAGTCAATAAGTAAGTCAGGAATAGTTATGGGATGGCAGGAAAATGTAGTTGGTGGTTTCTAAAGGTATCATAAGTTGTCAATAACATTATGTCTCCATTCATTAGGTCACACTAGGTGTTGCATGCACATTTACAAAAAAAGAAACAAAATGGTGACTGTACCTACACAGTATACCATCAAATAACAACGTGATGTTGTGAGTTTTTGTGTGTGTGTAGAGCAAAAGGGCTGCCAGAAAGGACAAACATTAGGAAATGCTTCCTGTTTATGCTGACAAATGTTTATCCTGTAAAGTTCTATTGATGCTTCATGATGCAATTAGAAAACGTCCAGGTCTGCTGACTAGAGGAGTACTGCTCCTACCTGACAATGCCAGACCACACATGGCTCGGTTAACTCAGGAGAAAATTAATCACACAGAGTGGGAACTTATGGAACAACCATCTTACAGCCCCGACTTAGCCCCTGAAAGATTTCCACCTTTTTGGTCCACTGTAAACCTACCTTGACGGGAGAGTTCATGAATGAAGCAGAAGTTGAATGTGAAGTAAAAATGTGGTTTAAAAAAACAGAGCATGCAGTTCTATGCAGCAGGTTTTGGGAGGACTGATAAAACAATGGAAGAAGAACATCAATGTTGGTGGAAATTAAGTTGAAAATAAAGGGACAGTGCATGTGTAAAAATAAACGGTTTTTAAGTTGTCTTCGTGTATAGTTTTTTTTTTCTTTTTTTCAAACAACCATTTGTGACTTACTTATAGACTTCCCCTCGTACATCTGCCTGTTAAAAGGACAGTTGGTACGTTGTGTTGTAGTTTACATCCAGGCTGCAATATCCGTGCAATTTGGCACAACACATCTGATTTTAGGACACCCCAAATTAGCTGTGGAAACGAGTGCTTCCCTGTCACCCAGGTTTCATCCCATATGGCTTAGTTTCCAGAGGTCAGTTAGCTGTCTGCTGGGGCATTAGACAAGGCAAGAACATTGTAGCTCTGGCGACATTACCCAGGGGTCTTTGTGAAAATTACACTTGTGAACTTAATTATGCAGCTGTGAAACGAACCCAAAAACCTTCAGAGCGCATGGTTAACAGCTTTACCATCCCCCCAGGAAGAACTCTATCTCTCACGTGGATACCCCTGTCTCCTTCTCAGAGGTCCCTATCTCCCCCATAGAAGATCCCTAGCTCCCAATACAGAGAACCATATCTCCCTCACAGAGGGCCCTATCTTTCACATGGATACCACTATCTATCTTCCCCACAGAAGGCCCTATCTCCTAATACAAAGACCCCTATCTTCCCCACAGAGAGCCCTACATACCATACAGAGACCCTATCTCCCCCACAGCGGTCCCTATCTCCCCCACAGCGGTCCCTATCTCCCAATACTGAGGGCCCTATCTCCCAATTCAGAGACCCCTATCTACCCCAAGGAAACCCCTATTTCCCTCAATGAAGAACGCTATTTATCCACACTATAAACATGAAGCTGGGACAGCATACCTAGCTTTCCCTTGCTTTCCTTGGCTGCAACTAGCTTCTGCTTGGCATTTTCAATGAAGTCCGAGACCTCTCTTGAGTACAGCTTCGACAAGCTAGACATGTATACCTGCAAGCAGTTATAATGATGGAACAATTTATGAACTAGATTAATACAAAAGATTGTGCAATCATGCACATCTAAAAGAAAATAAGGCACAGTGGACAGCATGTTACTTCGTACTTTCCAGATAATGCAATTTAACTGTCTGTATATGAATGAATTGTACGACTTATGTTTGCTCCTGTTTCTTCTTCTTCTTTTTCGCTTTCACCCGCAGTAAACTCCAGTGAAAAGTTCTGGTTGTTTGTCCACCTCCGGACTTTAGATCTTGAGTGTTATGTACTCATCTGTTTTACAGATGTGGCTTAACTTGTCTCCAGATTGTTGGTTCCTTACCTCTTAGGTAGAATCACTTCGACTATTAAGAAAGACCCCAATTAGTCCACTCCTACGACATGTATGTTGGGGAGGCAGTAAGTCTATTCTTGTTTTTCCCACAATAGGACCCTGGAACCCACAAGGGAAGTGCTCCTGTTTGATCCAGAGACTCCGTGGTGAAGTTGTCAAGCTGTCTGCATCACGCTCTGAAGGTCATCGGCATCAGAGGGTTTGTTTCAGCAGGTGGCTAGCTCTGCCGTCGCTCAGCTCCTTTATGAGTGGTTCTTTGATTTACAGAGTATCAATCTTTCAGACTGCAATTCCAGATGGAGGAAACATTGAAAAAAAAAATGTTTGTTTCAATACCCATACAGGACAGTAGATTACTTCATAATCTTCCTGTGTTGGTTCTGAGGCCCCATTGTGGGGAGAACAAGAACAAACCCACTACATACCCAAAAGCATGTTGTAAGAGTCAACTAATTGGGAGCTTCCTTCGACGTCAGCGTGCATCTGCCTGAGAGGCAAGGAACTAACAGTCTGCAAATAAATTAGTCAGATCTGAAAAGAAGATGTACACACAGCACTCAGGTTCTAGACCAGTGCTGGGGTCCAGAAGTGGACGAACAACCAGAACTTTCCATTGAAGTGTACAGCTGATGAATGCTAAGAAAAAAGACTTCATAACCGCAGAGCACCCAAATATATCTATTTTATATGGCTGAACTGAGTTTTGGGGATTTACTCCTGAAACAAACAAAAAAGTAAGGCACAAAAACAACTGGTCACAAACAGCAGAAATATGTGGTCATACTTTTATTGTAGTAAAATATGTGAAAGACGAGATGTATACCCGGTCTGACGCTAAAGCAACACAGCGAGTTTTATTTTTGTAAATGTCAATTCAAAAGAAACAAATCTCAAGTATTCCATCATTTTTAATCAGCAGGGCCTTTATAGAATGACACTCTTGTCACAGAACACCTGAAAGTCTCTCTTTTTTTTTAGCCAGTTCTTCAGCTCAATGGGCTTTCCTACATTGTCCTGTATCAGAATTCACAGAGGTCTGCCTCTGTCTCGTATCCCGGAAACTGTACCCTCCATCACCATTCTCCTCCAGACAAGACCCTGTTTATCAGCAAATTCTCACTAATGCTCAGATTATGTAGGTTGTCTGTGTTATTCCTCTTCTTGGTGCATGGTATTCTACTAGATTATTCCATTCCCCTTTATTATATAGCCATCACAATCAGAGAAGAGATAAACTAGAAAACACTGGGGCAACTGGACAGATTTACAGAAGGAGAGCTAGGGGAAGACAGCAAGATATTCTTGACAGCCAATTTTCATGACATGGAAAGGTATTGACACACAAACTGACAAATGCTGTTGGAGACCATGAGATGTGAAAAAGCATGGTCACACACCGGTCAGTAAAATATTTGATGATGATGATGATAATTTATGATCCTGCTTTTTTTCCTGTAGGGGGGAAAACAGCACACCATCAATCACTAACCCTTTCAGCATGTGTTCTCCCTCTTACTACATCATGGAGAGGGGCAAGGTTATTTTATTCCATTATGATGCAGAAGTGATGCCCCGATGTGTTTACTGATGATACCGGTAATTCCAATTTTTTGGGGATAATTCCCTTATATCAGAAGTACTATTTTAAAACCATACTGGAGGGAAAGGTCGAGTGCAAGAGATCAAGAGGAGGCAAGGACACAAGTGGGAAAATGCCATCAAGACATGGACAAACAGCAGTCTGAGAGAGCATACAGCCAAGACAAGAGACAGAGCATGTTGGAAATCCAGTGTGCGTTTCTTCACTGTTAACCTGATTGACTGATATCAGAAGTACTGCACATTCACATAAACTTAGCCACAGGAAACCACTTTATAAACGAGAGATTATGCTGGTACATGTGAATATGACACTTGGACTTCCAGCCACTAGCAGGCCAGGTTGTGTAAATTTCAAGACAAATTTGTTGGCAGAAACCAGCCAGTAGGCTCATAACTATCTTCAGTTCCTTGTGGTGAGACTCACAAGTACTTCAAGAACACTGCCAGGATGGTCATAAAAGATGACTGATGTGCCCTGAGGAAAGGTCTTTGTGGTTTCATGCAGTGGCTAACCAACATTTCACATCAAGTTTAGATAAAGATTCTCTGGGAGACACCAGGTGGTATTTGTTGTATGTTCCAAAATTCTCTGTCTTCTCTTTTGACGAAAGCTTCATTTGTTAATAATTTTTCTCATTTATATATTCTATTTAGTTATGATGAATAGTTTTCAAAAGTCAATACACTATATTAACTTTATTTTAATAAACATCTATGACTGACTTGCATTGAAAGTCAAAAGTATAATTGTATTTCAAGCTGTTTATATGGTGTCAGTCTAGTGCTGTCTATCAATATACTTTTTTTTTTAGATGAGGGCTTAGCTTAACTCTTTCTGTCCCACAATGTCTCGGCTAATATCACAGAGAGTAAAGAATGACAACAGAGTTCTTCAGAGTCCCTCAGTAAACATAAGATGCAAAAACTGATATAGCATTTCATATGATTGGTGCACATGAGCAATACACAATCATGCTTAGCGTGTTGTAGGAACAAAGCGTCAATGACCAGAAAGATTCACAAGTGTGACACTAGAAAGGGAAAGAGTTAACTTTACTATATTACTTCATAGTGCTGCCAGCAGGCCACAAACTTAGATCAACAGTAGAAAGTAACTCTAGCTGTTTGAGTCTTGTTTGGCAATTTGCTGGAATGTTTCTAGCTCCCATCAGGGTAAAGACCAGTCAGTTGTGATAACAGAAACAGAGCGCCCACGTGCACGAACCCTCATTGCGTGGAAGATCGGCAAGCTGGGAACGAGGCAGGAAAGAACTAGGAACGAGGCAGGAACAGGCTGGGAGGGCGGTGGAACAAAGAGGTGGAAAAGCTGGAACAACTAGGAAAAGATAGGAAGGACCTCAACACGAGGGCTCTCTGAGGTTCCACTCTATAAAATTCACAAAGTTACGCTCATGTTTGTTCGTAAACTAATCATCCTCATAAAATCACTCTAATCTCAGGTGCTCAGTTCTCTAGCTGAGACCATCACTGAGCCATACCATCACTGTTTAATAACATATCTTATAAATGACAAATGATATATAAATGACTGCTAGATTAATAAATCAAATATATGTCTTTTTCTACATCAGTTTTTGTAATTTAAAGAGTGTCTGTTTTTACATGTTTAACTAAACTGTTAAGACAGAATAGCATTTGGTGGGGGCTCATAAATAATTCTTTACCAGGAGGAGGTAGTCGGGAGGGGTCATACCTACCCTGTCTAATAATTTATCAATTATAATAATCTAGATATCTAAAACCCCTTTCCTTCTCCTATGGGTACCAAGTGCAGCGGCTGTTAATTTACACAACGAGCCAATATGGCTGTTTTCTTGTATATCCAGGACTTTATCTGAGATCAGAATAGCTCAGATATTAGTTCAGTTGCTCTGGTGGAGGTAAAGTGTTGAAAGTAGAACTCATACTCATCATAAAAGCATCTATCCACTCCGCAATTTGCGACAACAAGGCAGGAAAGTTAGCAGGGGTAGACCAGCACAATAATGGACACAGGATATCAAGAACAACTCAGGCATGAAAGGCTGCAAGGTGGAAATGTTGCCAGGTGGACTGATGCCTTTTGGCTAGCCATGATGAGCAGCCATATTAAGTAAAAAGCTGTTCAACCGGCGGTCCACAGAACAAATCTGGCCAACAGAGATCCAGCAAGTGGCCTGCAGATCACCTGCCAAGTCTATGGTATTAATGATCCTTCTACTCTCCAAGAAAGCAGAACTGGTCTGGCAGTGGATACCAGCCCACGGTGGTATTCAAGGAAATGAGAGAGCAGATGAGTTGGCAAAAGCTGGGAGTAATCTTCCACAACCTCATCCACCACACAACTACAAGGAAACCAAAACAGTGCTAAAGCAGTCTTTCAAGCGGGAGTGGAGAAGGCAGAATGGAGATTACAGACAAGAGAGTGACAGCATAAACAAACTCAACAGGAAAGAACAAACATCAATTTTTAGACTTCGGACTGGACACTGTGGACTTCGAGCACACCTGTACAGGATAGGCATAAAAGAATCTGCTGCCTATGTTTGTGGAGCAGAAAGACAGACCCTTGAGCACATACTGCAGTACTGCCCTTACCTCTCCCAGCAAAGACTGTGGATCTGGCCCAAGGGATCCACATTTCAAGAGAAGCTATGGGGGACCGGTGGCGACCTTAAATGCACAATCCTATTTTTGACCCAGACGGGACTCAATGTTTAGCATGAATGATGTCGAACGCAGAAGAAGAAGAAAATTATCCTTCTATGGTGGGGCTCGGGCATCTGGCCGGCGACGATTCCTTTCTGCAAATTTTGGCTCCTGGGAAAATTCAGTTGAATGGCGCTGTGCTACATGATTATGAAACAAAAGTAAATGATTACCAAACAAAAGTACTTACAGCTGAAAGTTTGGAAAACACTGGCTCATCCGTGTTCTTCAGCCAAAGCATCAGATCAGCATAGACAACTAGTTCCTTATGTATGGAGCTGTGGTGAGGCATCCTGATCTCTCCAGCATAGCGGCTCAGTGTTTCGCCCATCTCATTACCCTGAGTGGAGAACGCACATGATTATTATCAACAAGCTTTTCACTACAATGGATCAACATTTTTCAGTACTTTTTTCATATTCTTCTCTAGTCACTTCAATCAAAGTGTTGGAGGGGGGTAGGGGGTTTGGGGGTGGGGGAGGGGGATGAGGTTGTGGATGTGAGGATCTTGTGTGTGCTTTTTCAAATGCACTTTAAAAGATGATCTTCATTTATCTAAGCCTGTTCTTGAAGCCATGAATCCATCTTTTGCCTGGTCTTTCCCTTGTTTAGTATATATTTTTACTTTTTGCTCATAACCAAACCATCAATGCTCTTGAGTTGTATGACTTTTCTGAGCCCTAGTCTTCTTTTAACTCTTTGAAGACATATCACCACTTTAGTGGCTTCTGAATCCATTATCTTTGGACAGATCACCAGTTAAGTGGCCCCAGGAGGATAGACACTTTAATATTGTTTCATTTGAAAAACTAGAATTAGTGAAACAAAGGCTTTTTGTTTTCACAGCTTTCTGTGGCAATTGGATTACTTTCTGATTTGTTTTAAATTAATTCAGTCCAGCATATGATCAAAATTTTCTTGTGAATTTCCTAGGGTAAAAGGTCTTGAATTGACCATTCTGGACTTTATAGTCTTCTTCCAGAGCTTTAGTTTTGGTTGCACATCTGTTTTACAGAGCTGGCTTATTAGTATGCAGACTGTTGATTCCTTACCTCTCAGGCCACTACAGACTTCTAAGGAAACACCCCTAATTAGTCACCTTTTACAGCATGCTTGTTGAGGGGCGAGGCAGTGAGTCTATTATTCCCCCCCCCCCCCCACCGAAATAGGGCGCTGAAACACACAAGGAAAACTAATATGCTGACTGTGCAAGATTCCCTTCTTTTACTTAGCATAGGGGCACCAGCTGTAGGCTTAGATAAACTGAGAGGCCCCCAACTTAAAAAAAACAAAATAATATCACATTATTTCAAATAAACTTTTCTATTTGTTTGCACTTCATTATTATTATTGAGCAAACTCAAACAAGGCAGACATCTAAGGCAGAACATTTCCCAGAACATTTGTAGGGAGCCTGATGGGGACCCCCCCCCCCCCCCCCCCCCCACCCGGCCTCTTTTTCACAATGTATTCTTTGTGCCTGCACCCCTGCTCAGCACACAGTAAATTTTGTTTTCATTATCAAGCCGAATTAATACAATTATTACTATAAAGATTTTTACATCTTTACAAGTGCCTCTTTTCATGTTCACTGTTAACTTTAATTAGTGGTATCGTGTGTGAGTGAGTGGTTGTATAGAGCAGTGCGGAATGAGTGTATCATGTGTGGGTGGGTTGATTTCTGGGGGTGTGTGAGATAAGCAGTATCCTGTGTGGGTGTTCAGTGCAGAATAAAACATATAAAAACACATTTTAAAACATCTAACTGTTGCGACTCCCCCCGGTGAAATAAACATAGTTAAAAACACATTTTAAAACATCTAATGTCAGAATTCATGTAAATATTATTTCATAACTACGTTGTTCCACCCCATCAGGACCGTAAACCGAGCGACCAACACCCAGTGACACAATGTTCCACCATTCGGATAAGGATCACCCGGGCACAAATCCCGGAAACCCTGTTCAACCATTAGGTTATTTTAGGGCCCTCGACTAAAGCTGGGGTAGGGCTTTAAAAAAATGAAAAATTGTGTCCTACATTGGGACGGGATTTTGCTGTGATTTTATAACAATGTAATAATGAATTACTGTAACACATGAAAACAGAAAAGTGTATCCATAAAAGCAACAGAAGAAAATTAATGAAAAAAAAACTATAAGTAAGAATACAACAGACTAATGATGCCATCCTGTTACTTACAAAAATGTGCTGACACTTCTAATAGACAGGGAAACATGTAGCTCAAGAGTATTAACTTTCAAAAAATGTTAATGAAAATTGCAAAATATAAAACATATAAGTCTATACAAAAAATGCACACAAATTTTAGCAAAAGAAAATGTATCATACTACTGGAGTGCAAGTTATCTTTTATTTCTTAAACAATGCAATATGCTCAAAGTGGTTACAATTAATATCCTAACACTTACAGAAACTATCAAAGTGAATGACTGCTGTAAAATTGTTTTTAACTTTTCTTAAAGTGATTACTAGAAGTGTTCTCATATCTATTTTTATAATAAATTACTGCTAATAAAAAAAGGTCTACCTTTGCTTTAATAAACTGGTTACCATTAGCATTCTGACACTTATTATTACTGCCAACTACTTTTGCCAATGTTCAAATATGTATTCATTCATTTTGTTAAACACATTATTACTTCAATAGGGTTAATGAGTATATTCTATGAAAAGCATGACTTCAGAACAGTATAATTCATTTTCAGGCACTCAGGAAGAGCAATGTGGAAGGGAGGTGGGCCTGGGTGGTGTGAGTGGGGGGGCGCTAAGGCTATGGAGTTCATGCTTTCTGCAATGTTCTCGGCAAGTGGCCAGCCTCCGTGCAGAGAGAGACAGAGCCTGAATGTGATAAAAACCGAATGCAGTGATCCTTAATCTGGTTCAGAATTATATAAACATCTTTCTTTTGGCGTCAGCTCCACAATGGAGTTTGGCTACAATGAAGATTAGAATATACTGCTGTTTTCAGGCATATTACATAGGTGAGGACCATTTTCTCTGCTACAGTGCAACTCTTCTACTCCATCTAAAACCTACAAGAATTGTCCTCTAAATATTTAATGAAGCACAACTTCACTGTGCTTCATGAATATATTCCATGATCATCAACTATAGCAAGACTTCATAGTATTCTGAAGAATAACTAACACAGAATATCATTCAAGCAGTTGAGCAGTCTCTATGGATAAAAAAAACACAACTACCTTAACTGGCTCTATTTACTCCTTTTAGGGCAGTGTAAGACCAGTTACTGTGAGACTGAGGATTTAAATTTAAGGTCACATGGCTAGTGCTGTCACCACGACCTATGCAGGTTAGGATTTCTATTTTTTTTTGCAATAGACAGAAAATATCTCCACCCTTACTGAGGACTGAACGTGGGTCCCCCGGATGAGAGCACATCCTTCTAACCAGTCTGCAAACTACTACTCAGTACATGTACATATGTTACCTGGTGAATGAAGAGATTGTTCAGATGGTGCACAAGTCTCTTAGAGAAGTTGGTAGATAACTTTTTGAATCTTTTCTGCTGCTCCTCCACACCTCCCAGCCGCAGCAAGGCTGAAAAGCATGACAAATTAGTTATATTACATATCTGACAAACTCTAGTCTTCTTCTCATTCACCAGCTGTAAACTCCAGCAGAAAGTTCTGGTTGTTCATCCACTTCTGGACTTAAGTCCTGTTTCAGAGCCTGAGTGTTGCATGTGCATCCATTTTACAGATCTGACTTATTTGTATGCAGACTGTTGGTTTCTTGAGGGACAGATGCACTCCAACTTTGAAGGAAGCTCCCAATTAGTCGACTCTTACAGCATGCTTTTGGGTAGGCAGCAGTCTATTTTTGTTTTCCCTATAGTAGGGTCCCGGAACCCACATGGGGAACAAACTCTAGTTATTCTTGTAACTAGCAGCAAGAATGGAAAGGATGACAAACTAGTTATATTACATATTTAACAAATTACCAGCAAGGCTAGAAAGGGTGACACTTATATTACATATTTAACAAACTCTTGTTCTTGTAACTAGCTGGAAAGGATGACAAACTATCATGCTAGATATTTATAGGCTCTTCTATCTTGTAACTAGCAGCAAGAATGGAAAGGATGATAAACTAGTTATATTAAATATTTAACACTCTTCTTTTTGTAACTAGCAGCAAAGGCTGGAAAGGATGACTATCACGATAGATATTTACAGACTCTTCATCTTGTAGCTCACAGCTGCCATTACTGCCTCTATATACTACTTTTGCAGTGTAGGCACTTTGGGTGGGTGGGTGGCTGGGGGGATCTCTGAGCCTGAGGATTTTGGGCCACACGGCCCTAGCAGCAAAGATAGAAAAGACGACAAGCTTTTTTTTGGTTTTTGTTCTAGTACAACTAAAAGCTTCACTGCATCAAGTCATGGCTTATTTTGTTACACTAGTTACATAAAAACACGCTTGCAAAATAGTCACCAGGAATAAAACAAATTATGGGCTTATCACAGACATCAGAAGAAGACAGACATAATTTTTCAGCCATGTTATGAGAAGAGGGAGACAACAAGAGAAGATTCTTGACAGTCTTGTTGCATGGCATGGAGGTGTGTCTGCACACGAACTGATACATGCTGCAGGAGATCACAGATTGTGGAGAGGCATGATTGCTCATCCAGTCGGCAAGGCACCTGAGGATGATGATGATGGGCACTTTTTCAGAAGACATATTCGGCATATGGTGCTGGCCCAATTTTCACAGACTATCAGCACTCAAGGGTGATACAGTCAATATCAAACTATCTTTACTTCCACGAGCAATTCCTGGCACTGACTCTTAAGAGCAGAGCCTAGATTTTAAAAATAAATATGCCTCATTGAAAACTGAAACCCAATAGTCAGACAGCAAGTCTGAGCAGAAAGGTGGTGGAATTTAATTTGCTGGATTTATTTTATAACATAAATTCTGGATAGACAAAATGACTAAATATGAGATAGTATAAGCAAACAAAGGCAGCTTTTCAGAAGATGAGAAGTATTTTATGTAATAAATCACTCTTATTAAACATCAGAAATGAGTATTGAAATATGATATCGAGCCTGTTCTATTGTATGGCAGTGAATCTGGAATGTGAGCAAACAAATTAAGAAGAGTTTGGAGACAACTGAGATGTGTTTCTTGAGAAGAATGTTGCGAATACCTTGGACTGCCAGAATAACCACACTGATTGCCTGGAAATGGCTAATGAAAGTAAAACATTATATACAACAAAGAGAGCTGTAGAATATTGTGACCACTGGAAATATCACTGGTAGATGAGGCAGAGGCAGACCAAGAGAAATGATGGTGGAGGAATATCATCAGTGGAATTGATCCAGAACACCAAAGACAGAGATCTGTAGGGATGCATGAACGCCTATGCCAGCTGGCAAGGCACTTAATGATGATGATGATGATAAGGAAACATCACAAACATCAGAATGAGAGAGTTGTCATTTTTTGGGTTTTGTTGTCGTTACGCTATGAGAAGAAGGAAACCAGAACATGTTGTGACTACTGGATCTGTAGAAAAAGAGACGGAGGTAGACAATGCGAGACAACCCTTTATCATGGCATGGAGGGGTGTCAGCACACGAACTGATACATGCTGATGAAGATCGCAGATTGTGGAGAGGTTTGATCCCCAAGCCAGTCAGCAAGGCACTAGATGATGATGATGATAAGCAAACAATTTTATCTCATGAAGATCAATAGTAGCACTTTGGGGACAAGGTGTATGGACACTGTTTAAAAACACAGCCTCGCTTATGATGTTAAAACAGGAGTTTTACCCCACCAGGACATCACACAAAGCGATAAAAAAACTGGTGACACAAAGTGCCACCATGTGGATGAGGCATACCAGTGGAAGGTCTTTGCATTGGAAGCCGCAGGGCCATATTTATGGCCCGGCTATAGGGGAGAAAACTAAGCAAACTCCAGTGGACCAAGAGGTGAGAAAAGATAGGGAGGACATTTGGATAGGACCACGTAATTGAGAAAGGAGAGAACAGACTTTAACTAGAATGTCTTTGCATTGGAACCCTCCAGGGGCATAGGAATTAAAAAGAAGGCCAAAAAAGCGCATCATGGAGAAGAGCGAGGGTGAAGAATCAAGTAAGCTCGAAGTAATTGGATTCCTCATGGGAACGACTGCTATGAGTATCAAAATGGAATGGAGGTGGTGGGCAGTAATGACAGCTTTCCGGAATAGCTTGAGAAGAACTAGAGATAGACATGTACGGCAAACAGACTCAGACAGCTTCAGGAAAACAAAAATTGTATTCCTCATGGGGACGACTGCTATGATTATCAATATGAGAATGGAGGTGGGGGCAGTAATGACAGCTTTCCGGTGGCTTGAGAACACTACAGTTAGACATGTTGTTAACAGATTGTATATCCGTCTCGCCTTTCCCCTAAGTGTCGAGTGTCAGCCAGATCCCCTTGTAACTCCTCACAGTGCCATTCTCCTCAGACCGCAATGATCTAACCGTTGCTCAGCACTGTTCACTGGCTCCCAAAGGGCCCTCACAACATCCAGCTTGTGCAGAACCAGCCAGTCTATCTGCCTGCTTATTTCCCAACACACTGCCAAGAGGAAAACATATTAAGCAAAAATTGTAGGCTGCAACTTGCACTATTAACCTGGAGACTTTTCTTGGCAACTGAGGAAGAGAATTTGTGGAATGTCCTAAGCACAGAGAGGTCAATTCTTGAATCATTTATTCATTCATTTTAGGAACAGCATGCATAAGCTAAACCACACAGTACAGATCCAAAGATAATTAATCATACATGGGTGTATATCCGCATTCATGCAACGGTGCAGCGCTTGAGCTGCAGCTGTACATTCTTGAATTCCAGCTGGGGTTGTCAGGTCGCCGTCCATTAGTGCCTGGATGTGTTTCATGTCCAGTCTAACTGATTCTGGGATATAAATAAATACAACAGTAAAAACATGAACTGCTCAAAAGTCTTGGTGCAAAAATATGATAAATACATTTTTAAAGAGAGCTACAGCAGCATAGCGGCTAGAAGCTCATTGGGCAGCCCAAGGTCTTGAGATTTTGGGTTTAAATCAATACTTGGTAGATCTTTTTTTTTTTTTAAATGACTGGTAACCAGGTCAATCTAGTCTAAAATTGGTACCAGAAAATATCATGGGAAAATAAAGGCAATTAGAATGATATTCACCACATAACCCAATTAGGGATGATTGATCTATTAAATTATGGGCCTGGCCTGCTTGCACAGTTGGTTAAAACCCTCTGCGCGGCGATCGGGTGACAAACTCCTTGTGGTCCTTGTTCATGCCCGGGGGTAGGCAGAAAAGCCACATTTCTCCAAGATTTACGGTACCTATTATGGTATCAAGGCCGAAGGATTGCGATATCCATAGTACGAAGCCAAAGGGTTAAGAACTCATGGTTTCTAGATATTAAAAAAAAAAAATGCATACTTGACAATAAGATGTAGGAACTGACATCCAACTATGCACACCACATACTTGAGTGAGAACTACACGACAACAGCCAAATTATGATTTCAACTAACCACAAGATTCTGCAGCTCCTCCAACAACCGCTGGTGATTCTTGTTTCTCAGCGTCATCAAAGTGTCCTTGTCTCTCATGACTTCCATCTGTTCCTTCACATTCTGGAAATATATTTAAATGAAGGTTTTTTTGAACAAAACTTTCCTTACCAACTTTTTTGGGTCCTATGCCAACTTTCTGGTATCATGAACTTTCATTTTCAGGGTTTCTGTGATATCTGGTTTCATTATGTCATGTTGTTATCACAGATGACATCACTGCACAATAGGCATTCCTATGTGTGCTCAGTCCTCCAATGCAGCAGCCAGTCCAAGGTACCTTTACTGATTGTTCACATGAGCTGGTTAAACTGACTCCTATCTTTGCCTTAAAGGTGGAAGAGACATGCTTTACTCCTATATCCTATGTTGATATCTAATATCCACCATCTTGCTGGTCAACCCCTGCCTCTTCTTCCAGGAACTTCCACTACTGTTTCTATCATTATGGCATTTAACTCTTTCAGTTCCAGATAGCTGTGCAACAGATGCCAAATTTGCACATTAAAGCAATAGTAAAAAAAAAAAAAAATCTTACTTTCACACAAAAACAACATATTGCTCCATGTTTAAGTATCAAGTCATATTCTTTCAATATGCCCATGTTAGACTAAAGGGATTTTAAAATTTGACATCCTGATACATACAAATATTAGCTAATCCCGCCTGATGCATGCTGGACACAGAAAGATTATACTTTACTTTCTGAGAAATGATACTATCTCTAACTCCAGGCCCCTCTACAGAAGGGAGGAATGTCAGTAGTCTGCCCCCATTTGGTTCATAATCTTCCTGTAACATCTAAGTTCAAAAACCTCCATTATAATAAACTAAGCATTCACAAACCATCAGTCACACACACACAAACAAAAAAATACTTACTGCTAATATTTTATCATAAGAGTCCAGCTTTTCCTCAATCTGCTCTGCTTCTTTGATGCCATTGTCAAGCAGTCGCATCAGATTTAAAACCTGATCTTCTGAGCCCATTATTGAGTGAATGTTGGCCTGAAATAGATATGGAAAAAAAAAAACATCAAGCTCTCTGTCGTCTTGTTTTCATTGTCTTTTCTCTAGCCCTATTCTGCAAGTTTTGAAGCGACATCAGTTGCGAGCCTTGGTGTGTACTACGCAGATGCTGGTACTAACAGTTTTAGATATTCTATTTATTTAACGCTTGCATAGGCAACCTTCAGCGCTGCTTCCATTGTGTCTAAATTGACAGGGCTCTCTGTGGTGCATTATTATTCAGCTCAAGCACTACAGACTATATTACCCTTCAACTGATGTAGTTACCAAACTATGAAACTAACATCATATTTCGAGGGATGGAGTAGCTTTGAGGTACAATGTCAGCCTCTAAATAAAGAAGGCCTGCTACAAGTTTTGATGTAATTAGGAGTGACTGTAGTCAAACATACTGCCATTTAATCTTGCTCCGGTGATCAAACCAGCCACCTCTCCTTGGAAAATTGCTTTATTCATAGTTATGGCATTTTCAGTCCTGCAAGGATCAATATTCAACATACTTTTATTTAAGTTGATATTTCTCCCAAGTTTTTAAGATCCCTTCTGACTTGTTTTGTGCCCTTCATGTCCAGTTTCTTCTGCTGGGCTATTTAAATTTTTTTTGTTGATCTTGGTTGCTTATAAACTTTACTGTCTTGTCAACTTAGTTTTTTAGTCACAGTTTGTGCTGTGTTTAGTACTCTGATGATAAAGGCTTTGGTCAAACCATTCTGTTACATTTGTGTTCATCCTTTCGATCCCTTCCATTCAACTTTCTAGTCACAGTCTGTTTATAATTAGTATTTCTGGCTAAAAGTCATAATGTCGACAATATAGACTGTGCATAATGAAAAAAAAAAGTTATATACTCTCCCCCGATATTTGGGCAGTGGATCAGACTTCAGACTGGGAGGACACGGAACACACTAACAAATCCCTCAGCAGTTTCAAATAAGAAACAGCAGGCCAACAAACAAAAACAGTCCAGTTTAAACTTCAAAAGTAGAAAGCCTAACTATAAAAGTATTTAGTTCCTAAGGCTCACCCCAAATACTCTTATCGTCTTTTTCAGAATTTCAAGACCTTGAGGTTCATTGTTGCAGATAATATCACTCACCTCCCTTTATTCTGTGTCTGGCCTTCTCTTTCAACTTGGTCACTCCTGATGTCTGCAGGTCTGCCTGTTTATTATTTCTCCACAATCTTCTTGGTCTATCTTGTAGTCTACCCCCTTTCAACTTTTCCCAATAGCCTATAATGCCCGAAAAAAGTGGTGAATAAAGACATTAAAGATAGTGTATAATATATACACATTTACTTATTCCCATACACATATCTGGACCATTACAATAGCAGCAGAATTCATGCACAGTGATGTAAGTCTCCTAATTGTATCTATAGCATGAGACTGAGACACTATGGAAGGTCATCACCACCAACACATCATCCTGCTGTACAATTATATGTCACACAGGACTTGCAGCCTATTCCTCCATTCCTCTAAAACCTTTGAACACTATGGATGGAATCCTGGCAGCATCTTTGGCCTCTCTCACCAAGTTTGTTTTTAGGGTTTATCTTGGACGTCCCCATTTCCTCAATCCATTTGTTACATGTATCAATGTCTGCTTTGTGTTTCTCTGCTTGTTGCGTTTACGGATGTGCCCAATATAGTGCCATCTTCTTTGTCTTATAACTTTATTAACTTCTGTCTTACACAGTTCTATTTCAAACAACCCAACATATACTCACGCCATCAAGAACTGACAACTGCTTTGAAAGCTGCTCTGTAAAGACTTCAGCATTGCTGATGGCCACCTGACACTCAGACATCAACAGTTCAAGATCTGCTTCTTCTTTGGCAGACAATGCTTGATAGTCTTCTCCCTCAATGGAGATGTCATCAACAGACTGTGATTTTTCCCGCAAAGTATGAGGATCCTTTATATCTGGCAGATGTGTAAACAAATAAATTACATTCAAAAATATTTCAGAATTAGAATACCATCTTGGAATGGTGTGATAAAAACTACAAAGAAATCTGCATCAAATAGTATTTTTTCTTTCTTTTAAAAAAATACAAATTTGTTGGGCCCTTATTTTGCCAACTGTGCATCTGGCATATGGCGTTAGACCTATATTTTTCTAGACTAATCAGCAACCGACAGGTGATGTGATCAAAATCTTTATCTGCAAGGGCATTACCTTCTACTAATTTTAGGCTGGGTTCTTCTTCTTCTCTGCGTTCACCAGCTGTAAACTCTGGCCGAAAGTTCTGGTTGTTCATCCACTTCTGGACTGCAGTCCTGTTCCAAAACCTGAGTGTTGCGTGTGCATTCGTTTTACAGATCTGACTCATTTGTATGTAGATCACTGGTTCGTTCCTCTCAGACAGATGCACTCCGACTTTGAAGGAAGCTTCCAAATAGTCGTCTCTTACGACATGCTTTTGGGTAGGCAGTGGTTCTTTTGGTGTTTTCCGTATAATCTTGTTTTCCCTATAATCTTGTTTTCCGTATAATCTTGTTTTCCCTATAAGAGGGCCCCGGAACCCACATGGGGAAGACTGGGTTGACCTGGCAGTCAAGGTCAATTCTGATGAAGAAAAAAATCCACCTCAACCCATATTGGAACCTTAGATCTTTGGGCAGCAGACAAGCATTCATCAAACAGTGATTCACTCTTGATTTTTGTTAGATTTTTAAAATAAATGCTTACAGCCCATTTTTCTACCTTCTCATGAGCCTTTCTTCAAGCATGCATTCCACTCATAAATAAACAATTAACCAACAACAAGAACATGATTAACTGACTGCTGGAATTGGGTATTAAACGAGGACAAGCATGCAGAAACTGACCGCGGGGCAAAGAAAACAAAATAAGATATGCCAATCAACTCCTACTGGATATAGTAAGCATGGAGACACTGTGATGGCTGCCCCGTCAGAGGACAGAGCACGAATGGGTCAGACTTCTGTGCCTGGATGTCAATATAGATAACAAGAGTATTAGACAAGAATCTGCTGTACTTATCTACCTTTTTGAAACCAAAAGTGAAGAAACAAACAACATTAAATCTGTTTTTACCTTCAAGTAATCTCTCAGGAATGTTTTCAAACTCAGGTTTCTGAATAAGAAATCTGTGGCTCAACTGAAAATGTGCACAAAAGAGAATAAATAACAATGCTTATACAATAATATAATATTTGTGTGTATGTGAATATTTTAGTATTTACTCTGCCAGTATTTGTCTTATTTAGCCACAAAGAATGGAAGGTTATTTGTAATGATTTAAAATAAAAATGTAAAGTACATTCAATTAATTGTCAGTAGTTAGCCAGGGTTCCACATTCACTACAGACGGGTTGCCCCATGACTGCTCCGTTCCTGGGTCAGTGCACTCATAAAAAAATATCAGTAAACTGTTCCATTTGGAAACTAGTGGACAGACCGCTGATCCTTGACAATTATGTCATAAACAGCAACTAATTAACGATATGCTGAAATCGCATGTGTTGGGTCAAAAGGCACAGATACGACAGCCTAACTGTAAAACACAACATAAAGTGACAAACTCCCTGCCCCCTCCATTATAAAGATAATGCAGAAAAATAATAAGCCCCACACAGTTGTGTCATTTGTTCCTGTTGTTTGTTTGTTTGTTTTAGTATCCAGAAGCCCTGAGTTGTTAACCCTTAGGCTCGGTATTATGGATATCGCAACCTTTCGGCCTTGATTCCATTGTAAATACTGTAAATCTGGGAGAAATGTGGCTTTTCTGCCTACCCCCGGGAGTGAACCTGGACCACAAGGAGTTCGTCACCCGGTCACCCCGCAATCCGGTTTAGCCAACTACGCTAGAGAGCCGGGCGTCATTTGTTCCTAAAACTCTTTTTTAAAAAATTTACAGAGAAATCATTTGTTCTAGAACCCTCCAAATCAGGCATGTCAAACTGAGGGTGAACCAAGGGCTATGTGGTTCATAATTGTGTTGTCATAAGGGCCACACACAGCAACTTACTGAAGTCATTTAATAAAAATAACTGTAGAATATTCTGACTGAGTGCTGCAGGCCTACTTGGAAAGGGTCATATGTGATACGCGAGCCACATATTTAACACACCTGCTTCAAATACCATATAGACTTGTATTTGTTACAGTTCCATACTGATTTACCTCTAAAAAGCATTCAGTTAAAATATAGACACACAGTGCAGTTGTATACCTAAACATCAGATAAAGACGTCAAATACCCACCCTCCACAAAGAAGATATAAACGCTTCCTTCTCCTCAACACTAGCAGCTGACCATTTATATGTCTTTTCAAAGTGCAGGTCAAACTCTGGGCTAGGCTAAAATGAGCAAAAAATGCCACAATGAACAAATAATTACATATTAGACATTATCATGATGTGCTATGCCGGTAAGCATAAGATGTCATGTTCTGCAAGCTTCACCAATCACCAGAATGACAGATGAGGTCAGTGTTCTTGTCTCGCCCCATCCATATGGTTAAGCCATTCTGGTATTTATCTCTTTGCCTTCCCATTCGCCCTCTTCCCATCAATCTTGCCAGTCTTTACAAAGGTCTCAAATTCATTCCTTCTCATAACATGTCCGAAAAACACTGTCTGTGTCTATACTTGCAATCAGTTCACAACTTTTGTCTGTTTCAAACAGGACTGCCTGAATTAGATACTATTAGACTTTATTAGTCCCCGCGTGGGTTCCACTGCATGATAAGGCAGACGTGGTTAGTGCCTCGTGGGAGAGCGTGTACAGTTCCAAGGAGCAGATGGATCATCACAGTCTGGTGAGATTGATGCAGGGGAAAAGATGAGAGGTTCTGGAAAGGCAAGACGGATGTTTAATCACAATGCTACAGGCACCATTAGTATTGGAACTCTTCACTGGCTGCTGAAGATGGGGACGGAGCGCTAATGAGAATGCCCTGAGTGCTGTGATGTCGGTTCTTGAATCAATTCAAATGCCCGGAAAACAAGAAAATACCCACCGCCTCCCCAAAAAGCATGTCATAGGAGTCAACCTATTACATACAAATAAGTCAGATCTGTAAAATGTATGTGCATGTAAAACTCAAGTTCTGGAATAAGACTAAAGTAAAGAGGTGTACGAAGAACCAGAGCTGTCCGCTGAGTTTACAGCCGGTGAACATGAAGAAGAAAACAAAAATTATTAGATATAATATTAGACTACAAAAGAAAGAAATATGTCATAAAAAATAAGTGACAAAATGGAGACTAAAAAGAGCAAAAAATATGCCAAAAAATGTTTACTTTCACAGAACAAATGAAACTGGCTAACAGTAAGTACATTTTTTCTATGCTGAACAGTTTTGAACAATGGATCAACATCACGGCACATGAGTAGTAACCCATAAGTGCTCAGTTCTTCTTCTAACTTAAGTCTGAGTCTGAAGAAGCTCAGCACAGTGCACAGGCTCTGTAGCACCAATGAGGATCCTGAAAAACTTTGGGTAAATCTGTAACTAAATTGTGCCCAGCTAGCACCAAAAGGCTACTCTTTTCCATTTCCAACTGCCCAAAGAATTTTTTATGTGCACAACATTGCACATGGGCGTCCAATCTCACTACCCAGAGACCAGGGGAAATTACTAGAAGTCATAGTCCAAGTGAAAAAAATCTACGCCCTTACGGGAAAGGGGAGGGGGGGAATTGAACCTGGAACCTCTAGCACTTGAGGTGGACACCATGCCCCGAGACCACGCAGCCCTTTCTACAGTGAAGACTGCAGCTTTAACTGGCATTATGCTGGTTATATGCCTAACTTTTAAACATACTTAACTTTTCTATTTGCTTTTTGTGCCATTATTGAACTAGGCACAGTACAAGAGGATCAAGATGAGTTGAGATAAGAACGAACAAGGCATACCATCTCTGTGTTGGTACAACTGACCTACCTTTTCTGCAGATTTGCCATCCAGTTTTCTCAAGTCTCGCAGCAGCCAGCTCATTTTCTTCTTGAAGCCTTCGCCTCTGTCAGATTTCTTCACATGATATATATACACCTTGGCAGGACTCTCCATTGTGTTCACTGTAAGTTAAAAGACATTAAAAAAAATCAATTCAACAACATTTTAAAGAATGATAACAGAAACATTATACTTCTTCTCCTTCGGCATTCCGAGCCCTTGAGGTTTATTGCTGCTGATATCTCCCACCCTCATTTATCTCTGAGATGGGCTTTCTCTTTCTAGTAGGTGACTCCAGGTGTGTGCAGGTCTTGTTGTATATTATCTCTCCATAAGCCTTCTGCCACCATCTTCATCAGCCAGCACAGAATTACAACTTTCATGGTAAGATGTATTGTAAAATAACAAACTATGTGATATATTACTATCTGCTTCATGGATATTTTCTGCAAAATTTAAAATAAAACAATTAATGCTCAGAAATGTAAGTGAGATGCTATTGGATTTTCTTTTGTCGAAAAGGTGATTTTATTTCTTAAAAAAGTTGAGAATATTCCCAAATATGAAGATAAAATAGAGCCTGTGAGACAAGATGAATACGTAAAATTACTAAAAATTAGAGCTAATGCTTTAAGTCATAGAAGATTCTGCAAAATATACCAAAGAATAACAAAAGTCATAATTTTATTAATCAAATGTGAAAATACTACTGCCACAGATGCTGCAAAACATGTATTGGTGTTACAAGTAAAAAAAAATGAGTAGCCAGGTTTTTACAGTATGTACCAGCCAAACGTTAGATCAGACTGTGCAGTGCTAGTACACAAGAGTAACAGCAGATAACATTTGGTGCATTACTTAGGACTGAAAGATGTAAGGATACAGTGTTATACAGAAAAGCATGTTCAACAACACTCCTTATTTTTGAACAAAGGAGACACAAACAATAGTTTGTATAATTTATTTAAAATTTTTTTAAACCAGGTCAGTTCCCAAAACATCCAGCCTGGCAGTCCAACTACATAAAGGATATTATATCGGTAATCAAGACTGAACAGGGGACCACCCAGCATAAGTTATTCTTTTTATTTTTTTATTTAGCTCTTGCCGTTAGGGTTTTCCAGTGAGTTTGGTTTGTGGTAAACCAACCCAGGCCTTCTGGTCAGAACAGTGCAGAAGAGCTGCTCTTGGCCAAGAGGCTGAATTCCCATGGATATTAAAGCTGATATTTCGTGGCATCTCGTCAGGTGCATGCTCCAGTAACAGAATTAAACAACACGAAGCAAAGAATTTAAATTTTTTAAACTAAAGTTTAGTTTTAAGTTTAAACAACGGATCAACATTATGGCACGAGGGTAGTAACCCATAAGTACTCCACTCTACTTCTAACTCAAGCCTGAGTCTAAAAAATCTCAGCGCACTGCAAAAACTCTGTAGCACCAGCGAGGATAATGAAATACTTTAGGTAGATTTGTAACTTAAAATTTTGCCTGGGCAGGCCGTTAGGCTACTCTTTTAGATTTCCAAATGCCAAGGGAGTTTTTTTACATGTGCAATAATACACACGGGCTTCAGATCTCACTACCCAGAGACCAGGGGAAATTACTTCAAGATCACCTGAAAAAATCCCAGCCTTCACCGGGGTCTGAACCCGGACCTTTAGCACTTGGGTAAACTTAAGCTAAATACACATTTATATATACTCAAATATAAATGCCTGCTTTATCAGTGTCAATGTAAGTTTACTGTGAGTCTTTTTCTTCATTCAGCCTCAATACGTACGACCAAAACTGGAGTATGGCATGGGAGCGTACTCCACTGCAGCCAAATCAAACCTACAAAAACCTGACAAAACACAGAACACTGGTCTCAGAATCATCACTGGAGGAATGAGAAATACACCAATCAATGAGCTGGAGGCAACTTCTCCCCTCCAGATCTTGAGCCTTCAAAGGGAAGAAAAGGTGCTTACCTTAACAGAAAAATGTTAATGCATGAACAACAACTGTATGCACAGAATAGAAAAAAACACAACTAAAAACCGACTGAAAAGACAAAGCTTTCAACATTATCAAAATTGTACTTAAAAAAAAGAGACGTCCTTTCTAAAAATCCTTCAACATGGTAAATGATCATGGCATACAGCATAGACCTACAGCCTAACTATACAGTCACAACAAGAATTCCAGACAGACAGAAAGGTTGAAGAATGTGACCCAGTACTGCATGCAAAGACCCTTGAACATGTCTACAACTCTTACCCAAAACTTGAATGGACACACATGTACACCAATGAATAATTGGAGGGAGCAGAAAAAACGAAAAAGATGGATCAGTCATCATGCTACAAGATGGGACCACAGCTGAAACGTCATGTGCCTCCAGAAAACTCTCAACAAACTTCAGAGCAGAGCAGTAAGCAATTATTGATTCAGCTAAAGTGCTTGAGTCAAGAAAAAAAAAAAGCAAAATTGTTTTCCTTTGTTACTACACGTCAGTCCTCCAGGCAACTCAGAGGGATCCACAAGACAACATGGAGAGAGAACTGACCCACCAGCTAAGTAGACTCACAGAAAACAATCAAACTGTTCGCCAGTGGATCCCGGTTCACTGCCGCATACCAGGAAATAAATTAGCAGAAGGACTAGCAAAAAATAGAACAAAGGAGAAAACACACCCGTCCATTGTCATTACCAGAAATCAGAACACTTATCAAGGGAAAATACAAGGAACTGTGGAGAGAAGAAACAGTAAACATCCACAAGACCCTATCAGCAGACTCAACAGAAAGCAACATACAACAATGTTTCATCTACAGACAGGACACTGCAGGCTCATCTACCTCATGCATAAAATAAAGATGTTACATTCCCCACAAACACTTGGGCACATTCTGCAGATCTGCCCACTCTACTTAAAATTTTGAAAAGACACCTGGCCTTAAGAGCAAAGTGTGCAGAGCAAGCTAAGAGGAATCATGAAGGGCCAGCTACTGACATGCAAGCTCATAGAGGCAACCCACCTGATGTTCTGATCTGAGCATACAAAACCGAATGCAAAGAAGAAGAAAGATTCAGCCTTAACTCTACCATACCGCTGTCCCGATTTTTCTTGAATTTGCATAGTTCGTGATAAAACATGTCATGAACTAAAAATAACCAACCAATCGCAACCAAACCTCGTGGTTAGTCATTGCGAATGGCTGCCCACGTGTGTTTGGATTTACTTTTTGTGGTTTAACGTGACAAAATTCTGAAAATTCACAATAAAACAAGCGGCTGATGTGAAACAAGGTTGATCCTGCTTGGCGGATTGGCACACAAAGGAATATTGGTGCTTGATGAAAGGTAAACCTATTTTCTACAATGTCTGCAAGTTTTATTTTATTCTAATCACTTGTCTGCATGTAAGTAATATTTGTGTATATCATGTTGATTTTGCGTTAATGCCCAGGAGCTCAGGTATAGGGGGCAGTTAGGTTCAAGGCCTCAGGTCTAGTGGGGTTAAAAGAGTTGCAGGGACACTGTGCTGTGGTTTACAGTTAGGCTGTGATATCTGCCGCCCAACACATCTGATTTCAGCAAACCCTGAAATAGTTTCATTTTGTGAGAAGTTTGCTAACGGACAGTGGGTCCATTCTCTCACCCCTTTCTTTGTTTAAAAAAAAAACAAGACCTAAATGCATAAGGTGTATTCTTCTTCTTCTCTCGTTGGCCTGAAAAAAGTTGTTTATAACAGCAATTTTGTCTCCTGTATAAATTTCACTGTCGTTGTTAGTTCATTCAGTGGTCATAGAGTTTACGTTCCACTGTTGTTCTTTCTGGCCAAAAGGTTTGCCTTAATGTTTCAAATTCAGAGCAGTCCTGGAGTACATACTCTGCTGTCTTGGGTACCTTTCCACAAGTGCACATAGCTGATACGCCTCTCTTGAATTTTGTGTACATGTGGTTATGTAATCGGTTGTGCCCTGTTCTGAGGCAAAAGATAATGACTTGTTCTGGTCTGTCCATAATAAAATAGTCGTCTTGTGCTGGGGCTGGTGGTTTCTTGATCGATTTAATGATTCTCTTCTTTCGGTGGTATGTGACTGGTACATCCAATAAGGGGTATGTTACATGTCTATAAACAAATGGATTTATCCCATTTTCTGTTACTGTAGTAAGCACCTGACAATAAAAAGTAAAATATGGCAGGTCATATGATAAACTGTGTAATTTGCTGTTTTTATCTTTCAGACACTTTCTTATGTGTTAAAATACAAGAGACGGTGGGGGGGGGGGGGGGGGGGTGTTTAGATCACGTTTACTTTTTAATTTTGCTTGCACATTATTTAACGTACTAAATAGTATTAAATATATATATTTTTATTATTAAAAATGTTACAAACTTTGAATATCTAGGCTCTATAATAAATGGAGACTGACAGAAATTAAAAGGAGGATGGCCACAGCAATGCAAAGATTGAACAGGCCTAAAGGCCTAAAAAGTCTATGGCACCAGCAAGGAGATCAAAATTAGAATTTTGAGAACATGCATCTTTCCTGTGGCTACATACAGATGTGAGTCGAGGACTATCTCTCAGTCCTTAAGAAAGAGAATAGGGGCTTTTGAGCTGAAATGCTATAGAACGATTCTCAGAATATCTTGGACAAAGAAGAGGAGAAATACTGACATCTTGAAAGATCTAAACATCAATAAAGATTGGCTAATAAACAGCATCCTGTCTCGGAAACTGAAATATTTTGGTCATATCAAGCGCCACGACGGATTGGAAAAAAATTATAGCAGAGGGCATGGTACCAGGAAGGAGGGGCAGGGGCTGACCGACACGAAGATGGGCACAGGATATATGTGACTCCTTGAGTATGAAAGTTCATGAGGCGGGGGAACTGGCGAGAGACCGAGTTTCTTTCAGGCAGACTGTGATGAGAGCGACGTTCTGCAAAGGACCTGCTACATGATGATGATTATTATTATACCTTTTCGTGATACATAGTACATAAGACATCACGGCTATCCTCCGAAAAAAGCCACATATTATGGCGGCCAAAAACACACCCTGACAGGGCCTCAGTCACATGTAAATTGCAGACTTCCAGGGACTTAAATTGCAGACCGGCAAATATACCGCCGAGAGTATCCCCCACACCACGTGAAGCGGTGGTTAAACCAGATAGCTGTGACTTACGAGCAACAGCTTTCGCATCTCCTGCAGCTTTGCTGGTGAGTCCTAGCAATCTATTAGCGGAGTCGCAGATACTCTCGGCGGTTGCCGATACTCTCGGCGGTCTTGGTATAGTCGTCGGAAGTCCGAAATTTACATGTGACTGAGGCCCTGTTTTTGGCCGCCATAATAATAAGAAGAAGAACAACATCACATAATATATACTTACAAACTGCACAGAGCCAACTGCCCCTCTTCTTCAGGTTAGTTTTTCGCGGAATTTTTGAGACAGAAATCATCGTAATAAGACGTTCATCGTTAGGCAGGAACAAGGTGTTTTGGATCTGTTGCCTCGACATGACTGACGACTGCTGAACCTAACTACTTTCTTAAGATCAGTAAAGTTAAAGTAAACTAAAACTATACAAGTTAGAAATATCAGGAATTATAGAGAAATGCGCACAGACACTGACTATTTTAACTATACGTTATACACAACGTTAAAGCTAATCAACTATTCATGGCAACAGTGTTGGTAAGAATGTTCCTGTTTGCTTTTTGCACAAGTTCAGCTAAACATCCATAATAATAATACAAATGAAATGTTTTTTGTTGACACCCCTTTTCCGCTTCCGTGTTGTCGTTTATTCGCGGTTTCGTATTTTAAATTTAAATTGTATTAATTGTTCTCATGATTTGAATGTTCTAGTAGAGCTGCCCCATTACCTATCACACCGACGTCACTACTCACTCTGGGCATTCACCTGCGTGCACAGTCCTATAGTGCAGCAGACACTCCAATGTAGTTCTACTAATTGTTTCTATAAGAGGGTGGTTATAATCTATCCTGTCTCGGCCTCGAAGGTGTAAGAGACGTGCTTTACTACCATGCCACCCAATCGGGTTAGATTAGAGATTCGTCATTATTTACTAGCCCAGTCAGCACAGGTCATATTTCTGACAAAAACCAGGGTGTGTTTCCCCCCCCCCCCCCCCCCCCCCCCCCAAAAAAAAAAAAAAACAACAACAACTAAAAAGTGCATCCCACAAGGGGATGACAAGATCAATAGACTGACTGACTGACTTTTTACCCCACCAGGGACAGCACACAAGCGATAAACACCCGGTGACACAAAGTGCCACAATGCGGATGAGGATCGCCCGTGGATAGGTAGAAAAAAATATCATTCAGCCTTTAGGCTTCATCTATAGCTAGGCCATATCTATGCCCTGGCTTTATTCAGAGCCCCCGACAGAAGCCAGGTGGGGTTTCAAATAACGAAAAATTGTATCCCACATGGGGATGACTAAAAGTATGAATTGCTTGCTTGCTTGTTGTACCCCACCAGGGACAGCACACAAGCGATAAACACCCGGTGACATAAAGTGTCACCATGCAGATGAGGATCACCCGTGGAGAGGTCCCAGAAACCCTTTTCAGCTGTTATGGCCACAAATGTGGCCCAGCTATATTCAGAGTCCCCGGCAAAAGCCAGGATGGGCTACAAATAACGAAACATGTGTGTGTGTAGGAGGGGGTGGGTGGGTGGATGGGTGGGTGAGTGCGTTCAACAAGTTTACTGAAAAACAAAAACGGAACACAAAGAAAGAAAGAGAAAAAGGAGAGAGGGAAGGGAGGGGGAGAGAGAAAGGAGAGACTTGACTCATTTGATGTCCTATGGCCTGCTTACTCGTGAGCCCCTGGTACCTGGGAAATACTGCTCTCCTTCCGGGCCAGTCCGTGGGGTCAGTATTTCCTCTTGATGTTGGCAAGTCAGTCGGCGTCTGTGGCTTACTCGCTGCGAACGCGCTTCTCAATGCTGGGGTACCGGGTTCGATCCCAGCTGCGGGCCTTGCGCCTTGCGTTGGTTTCGACAGTGGTATCGAAAACCGACTGTCCAGAAAGCAATGGCAAACTACTGGACGTAAATTTGCCTAGAAAAACCACAACAGCCAAAAAATGTCGTGGTTGGTTCTGCAACGTCATGTAAAGGATACGCAACTAACTTAACTTAACGTTGGCACGTCCTGGTAGGAATTGTAGGCGTTTGTCTTTATATGCAGCTAAGGGCCACCTGCAGTCTCCACACTCGACATCTCTTTTTCTATGTGATGACACGCATGTGGTTTGATTACAACTGTTACACTGGACCTTCCAAAAGCAGGGGGCGTTGTCTTAGTCACTGACAATTGTATCTTCCTTGATCTTCTTCTTTGTGGTGTTTTGTTTGTCATGTTCGGCTGGAGCTGTTGCTATCGGGGATATTTCATTTGAGCTAACTTCTTGCCGGTTCCTCTTGTTCTTGTTTGCTTTCTTCTTTTTTTCGGTGTGGTCTCCTGGTCAACTGTAGTTTGTGTGCCCTTTTATTCTGTAGAGGACTGCGCGGTTTGGGAAGGAGCTTCTTCTTGTGGCTCATCTTCCGCTTCCGGAGTGGCACAGTTCTTCTATGGAGACTCTATCAGGAGTGGAAGACCTCCTCGTGAAAGAGTGTTTTTGTTGGTCCTTGTTGTGTTTGTGTTTGTATGTGTCTGTGTATATGTGTATGTTTGCGTGAGTGTCTGCGTGAGTTTCTTCTGTGTGTGTGTCTGTGTATATGTCTGTGTGTATTTGTCTGTGTGTGTGTCTGCATGTGTAATTGTGTGTCTACGTGTGCATGCCTGCCATTGTGTCTGCGTGTGTGTCTATGCGTGTGTGTGTCTTTGTTTTTGTGTATGTGTGCATCTGTGTGTGTTTGTGCGTGTGTGTCTGTGCCTATGTATGTGTCTGTTTGTGTGTATGTGTGTGTCTGCGTGTGTGTGCGCGTGTTTGTGTGTGTGTGTCTGCATGTATGACTGTGTGTATATGTTTGCATGTGTATCTGTGTGTATGTCTCTGCATGTATCTGTGTGTGTGTTCTATGTGTATTATACTGTGTGTGTGTGTGTGTGTGTGTGTGCCTGCGTCTCTGTGTGTGTGTTTCTTTGTTGTGTTTGAGTTTTTGTATGTTTATGTACATGCCTGTGTGTGTATGTGTGTCTGCGTGCGTGTGCGACCGTGCCTATGTGTGTCTCTGTGTTAATCTGTGTAAGTACATGTGTGTGTCTGTGTGTATATGTTTATCTGTGTGTATGTCTCCGTGTCTGTGTGTATATCTTTAGGTGTCTGCATGTGTGTGTCTAGGTGTCTGCGTGTATTTGTGTGTGTACATGTGTATGTATGTCTACTTATGTGTCTGTGTGAGTGTGTCTGTGTGAGTGTGTATGTGTGTGTATGTGTCTGCGTGAGTGTGTCTGCGTGAGTGTGTCTGTGTGTGTATGTGTCTGCGTGATTATCAGCGTGTGTTTGTGTGTGTTGTCTGCGTGTGTGCCTGTGGGTTGTGTGTGTGGGTGTGTGCGTATCTGTGTGTGTTTGTGCATGTGTGTCTGTGTGTGTGTCTGTGTGTGTGTGTCTGTGTGTATGTCTGCGGGTTTGTGTGTCTGTGTGTGTGTGTGTGTGTGTGTGTGCGTGCCTTAGTGTGTGCATGCATTTAACCACCCACACTGATGTGTTTTTTTTTCTTGATATTTACAGTATACATATTATCATATGATTATAACCTGCTTTATTGATAAAATACAACTGCTGTGTGAAAGACGGGTGTTTGGGAGGACCGAATGTAATTCGGGCCTGTGTGCCCAATTTTTGAGACTTTAAAAAAATGCATTCTTTCTTTTTTGTTTTCTCTCTCTCTCTCTCTCTCTCTCTCTCTCTCTCTCTCTCTCTCTCTCTCTCTCTCTCTCTCTCTCTCTCTCCTCTCTCTCGCCTCTCCCTCTCTCTCCTCTCTCTCCTCTCTCTCTCTCCTTTCTCTCTCTCTCTTCTCTCTCTCTCTCCTCTCTCTCTCCTTTCTCTCTCTCTCATAAAATATCCACTTGTTCATTCCCTCGCATGTCCAGAACAGTATATTCATGCGAGTCCACTATTTTCTGCGAATGTCTTTAACACTGCAAGAGTTTGCCCACCTTGGCTGTTTTGCAGCTGCTGCTGCAACAAGTGTAGCAAGGTGTTCGGCACTTACTTACTTACTTAGTCGCTCCTCTTCTACCTCGGTGTGTAGAGGTTCCACAGAGAGATCGCCAGACGTCTCTGTCAGCAGTTTTCTTTCTGGCTTTGTTAAATCGTAGTCGTTGAGCGATGCCACTTCGTGGCCGTTAAGATCTGTCCGGTTTTCTCTCTGTAGTAACTACTTGTAATCAGAGTTTAAGGCAAACAGATGATTGGCCTGTTGGCTGCCTCCTTGCGGCCTCCATGTAGGCCGTCTGGCTGATTCAGGGTTACCCACTACTTCCGGAGACGCATGAAACACTCCGGTTCAGTCAGACCCTCCTCTTTTACAGCGGGGCTTGGGATCGGTCTTAGATTGTTGGGGTTTGGCGCAAAAGCAGTGTAATGACCCTGCTTTGCATGGACTCCACGAGTACATTGTGGCCAGCAGAAAGTCCCTGCTATAAGTGACAGCACAAGATACTTGGGGCTAGTCAAGTAAGCGAGGGGAAGCCCGAGCTAGACTCGTGGTCAGTCGATCATCAGAAGTCAGAGAAGACGGTCGTATTAGTAGTAGATGCAGTCCCTATGTCGTGCGTGTGACTAGTAATTGAGTATGCCGTGAGTCAAGGTGCATGACGAGTGACGTCGGCCTAAACAAGGTTCATTCCAAGTCAAGCCAAGGATCATTTCAAGTGGGAGCTTGTCCGAAGGAAATTCAAAAACCACGCGGACCTCAAGCATAGGAAAACATTTTTTTTTTCTTTCAAGGTAAGACTGAAAACAGTGTACGATACAACGTCTTCACCCTAGCAGAACCTATAAACACAGCAAGCGCGGACGGGTCAGTCGACCAATGAAAAACTGTGTGTCATCTACGCCCTGCCACACACCGTATCACCAAGTTTTGTTGATTCAGGAAGTTCCGTGTTCACCAAAGCTACACATCGTAAATATTTTAGTCCAGTTTGTGAATTAAATCCAGTTTGTGACTATTATTGTTTCGCTGAAACTAGCAGACTATGAGCTAAGTTTGTGCACGAAGTTACACTAAGTTATCTAACCACAGTGACATTTTTGCATCAATTGTGCGTTTATCAGAATGGCGTCTAAAAGGTTGGTAAAAAGTAAGAACGCTTTAGTGCAAGTATCATAAGCGACAACAACGAAAGATGCATCGATAAGCAACCAAAAGATCAAGATGTGTATTTTTTGTAAGTACCAGCACAGTTCTTTAACTATCTGCGACATAGATCCTAAATATTCAAGCTATATTGAAGACTTGGTCAATAAGAAATGGCAAAATAAACAAATTAACAACCCTAAAAAATGCCATTTCTGTTCAGCATTAGAACATAT